CACTTGGATATGTAATTGGTGAATACCGCAAGCTCGCTACTGCTTCGCCTGAAACACTAGGAGTAGTCTGTGAGAAAATCCGATGAGTCCCAAATGTAGGGCAATGTAGGTGTTGATCTAGCATTTTCATGTGCATAGCCATCATATCTCGCCTCCTATGGATCTCCAAGATTAGAGTAAATAAGGCTTCATCATCAGGTATATTCTCCATAAATTGCAAGCCACTGCGCAGTAATTCATAGAAGGGCACTCGGCATTTATCCTCATCAACCAAAAGCCATATCACATCCAAACAGCTATGTAGCCATTCAATTAGAGCCTTGCCAGGTCTCCAGGATTTTACACCATCAGATTCATCAACCCCGAGTTGTTTTTGATCCCAATTAACCAGCCAATTCAGCATATGGGAAAAGATGTCAGCATGAGTTACTGGTTTTAAATTAAATTCAAGTCCAGTTAAAATAATCTTGCAACACAGCTGACGTAGACTGCTTATAGCATTATCTCTTATAGATGAATTGACTCTTGCCGTCGCCTGCTGTCCATTGCAGGGCATATCAGATGATTTAACTGGTGACATAGTTACACAAGATGATGGCTCAATAGCAGACTGGCTGGGGGAACCAATACCATGTACTGCAGGTAATGGAGAGGCGGGATTTGATGATTGAAAATTAGACGAATGAGGAATGTTATTTGAAGATTGAAGCATACCGGACTGTGATGAAACAGCAGGCATTGCTTGACTTCCTTGACCCACTGACATTTCTGCAGTGGAGACCGAAGAAAAAAGGGAGGGCAAAAAGCTATCCCAGTTAATGTGACCAATGGTGCACAAGCTCCTTAAAGCAAAAAGAAGAAATTCTGCTCGCGGCGCATGATTACTACACTGCACAACTAGAGATATAAGAACAGACTCTGTCACAACACGCAGTTGATCTTGGTCCTGAAATACATGGAACAACATCAGACTAACTAACTAAAAGAAATAAAACTACTAACAACAATGATAATAAGGTCATAGAAATGGTTGAATATGGCACGGGAACAGCTTTAAACAAATAGGTGAGACATATGATACTTAAAGGTGCATCAAATTCTGCAACTTACAGGAAACTGGCTCTGCAGTTGCTCAAAATCTAGAAGGAACTGCTCATTTCGAGGAGGAAGCTCCCTATTAAGAGCAACTACACGTTTTTGTGACTTGTTCCTGAACAATCAACAACAAAAAACTTGTTCAAACAAATGGTTTATTTCCAACTTCGAAATAGCCGTATGATTGTTATCAAATCAACTGTAAGGTTTGTGCACTCAGCACCCAAAAGTATTATGTCTACTACATGTTGGTAGTTGGTGCAATGTGAGAAAAAAAAAGAAAAAAAAAAAGAAGCAAAAAGAACAGCAATTTAATTTCAATTCATATCATTCAAACTAATTGAGCAGCCAAAACCCAAAAGACAGAGCTTTCAGCTAATAGAGACACGCTTTCGAATGAATTGATAGCTAACATACGTAAATTTATCTATGGAAATATAATACTTACGGAGGTTCTCGAACTGAATCCTCAGGCTTTTGGCGACTACTTCTCTGCCAAGAAAGAAAAAAGAAAAGAAAATTTTCAGATGAAATCGCATTAGAAAAACTTAACGAAAAGGAAAGAGGGAAGGAAAACTGATACGCACTCCTAAGTAGAGGTCGAATAGATTGACAATTGCAGCACGTGCGGGGTGGAACTGGTAAGCTCGGGAAGCTGATGCTGAGGACGATGATGATCTCTGGTTTTGATCCATTTTTCTCACTTCATCTCCAATCGGAGCACCCACAAAGCCAAGCCAAGCCAAGCCAACCCAGGGAAAGACTATAAAGCCAACAAAGAGTAAGGGGCAAAGTGAACAGGAACTAGAATGAGTTGCGTGTTTTTTTCAGGCAGCCAGAGGCGCTTCACTTTGTATTGGGCCAATACTTATACTTGGGTAGTTGACTGGGGCGGCTCCGGGGACCCGAATCACATACGGATACGGATACGGTCCGGTCGGTGTTTGACACGTGCGTGCTGACTTAATTGCCTTTATTTTATGCTTTATAAATAAACTAACTAATGTAAATTACCGAAAAAATAATAATAATTAATTCTTTATTTTTAGCAGGATAAATTGAGGTCATTTTTAAAATCAAATATTAAAACTAATTTATTTGAAAATATTATAATTATAAAATATCTTTAATATAGATATAGATTATAATAATATATCCACGTTAGGTTTGTTTGAGTACTTGTAATTCTTAATAAGCCGGAAAATAAATATGTTCAATGTGACGCTTGTTTAGTTACGTTCGAAAAATAATTTATTATTACATTCATTAATAACATGATTATAAAACAAATTTGGTTGCTTTTTTGTTAATAAAATTAGATAAATTTTTAAAAGAAGAGAGTAACTTTTAGCGAAACGAAAACCTCTCGCTATAGCCTATAGTAAAAGAGTGACAATCAAATGTGCATCGTGAGGCTACCCATTTTCTATATATATATATAAAAAGACAAATATAAAAATAAAAGAACTGCACCTTGTCCAGAACATGACCGTTGAATCCAGCTGCCAAGCCACGTCAGTGTAAGTGGTGTCCCTCGTGGATTGTGAAGTGAGGCCAAACATAAGCCCTCCGATAAGAGGCCCAACCCAATGATCTGATCTGTGGTACCGCTTACTAGTTACTATGCAACTGCATGTAAATCTTAGCCGTCCGATCTCTGACACACTCTGTGATCACCTGCTTCTGCTCCATAAACCCACCTCTTTATTTACAAACTTAACCCTCTCTCTCTCCTTTGTCTCACCAGTTCACACTACGCTCTTCCACAAACCTCAAAAGGAGCTCCCTTTTCCCTTTTTCTCTCTATTCTCCCTCCCTACTTGTTTCCTTTTATTCTTGCCCTTTTCGTTTCGTTGGGTTTTGTTTAATCTTTCTTTCTGAGGGTTTTCTTTTGAGATTACCCCTGTGGGTTTCTTCGTTTCTATGGTTTTGGAGGAAGGCAGAGTGTTGGCTGTGAGGAAGGAATCTATGGCTGCTCTGCTACTGTTTTTCCTTTTGGCCGTCTCAGCAGTTTCCGCTGATGAAGGTGAGCTTCACTTGCTGTCCATGGTATGCTTTTATGTGTTTTTCTTCCTATGCCTTGTTTGTTTTGAGCAACTTTAAGCTTCATTTTCTCAATAATCTAATGGTTAGTTATGATTATAGTCTAATGGTTAGTTATGATTATAATCTAATGGGTCTCCTTCTGATTACTTTTTCCCGCTTCGGATTCCCGCATTGTGTTTATGTGCCAAAGACCCTTCTTTTTTTCTTCAAGTTCCATGTTTTTGTGTCTTGAACTTGATGTGTTTCCTATGCGGGTTTGCTTCCTTTTTCTTCTGGGTCTCTTTTAAGTTTGTTCAAACTGAAAAGCAGTTTTTCCCTTATAAATCTGCTGCGTCATTGAGTTTATTGTGACTGATTTTTATATAATAGGTCCGCATAATGATGATTCAATCTCTGTGTAATGCCCTCCTTCATTACTTTTAAGTTTAGACAACATTATTTGCCACTGTTTTGGTCAGCGGTTGAGCTTTGAACAAAAATTAAACTGCTATAGTTTAGAGTGGTCTTCACTGTTTGACTTTGGTAGTCGTTGAGGTGCAGTTATGTTATTTACTCTGTTTCATCGTATTTCAGATTTTGAGCAAACAAATCCTTTAATTTGCTCTTTAAAATTTCAATATTGCTGCACCAAGACATGTTCTTCCTGAAAAATGCGGACTTGGAAAAGGGGGTGAGAGAGAGAGAGAGAGAGAGAGAGAGAGAGAGAGAGAGAGAGAGAGAGAGTGCATTTAGCTGATTGGTGAAAAAATTTCCTTCTCTGGCCAAAGCAGGGGTAGTCTCTGCGAGAAATCTTCCCCTTGTTGAAAGTTTCCGATCTGTCGTCAGCTTTTCAGTCAAAACTATTGCGTCCCAGCTGGTCCAGCTCATTTGGCGGTCCTTTAAACCTAAACTACATTTGCAGATAAATGTACAAAAAATTGTGGGACCAAAATCCCCTTATTGGAGAATCCAAAAGATAGTGTTAAATGAACACTTGGGTCCTGGAAATCTACTACTTCAGTGGGCATTGTTGTCATTTTAGTCAAGAAGATAACATGCCCCATAGTTGGTCCAATATATTTTATGCATTCGCCCATCACCTCTCTCAGCTGTTCTGTTTATGGAGCTTAGCATTCTCAAATGTATCTTTTTAAGCGTGAAGAGAAAAGGGAAAAAACTTCTAGATTATATTGATTTGAAGGCCTTCACTGTTCATTGATCTATGTAATTGCCTGCTGTTTCCCTTGTGTACCAGATGCTAATACCATTAATTAACATGGTTTCAATTTTCCAAATGTTTATTATTCATTTTTATCTGTGATTCTGTTGTTGATATAAGATTTTAAGACTCTTTCTCTCCCCTCCCCTCCCTCTTAAAAAAATCAAGAGAGAGAGAAAGAGAGCAACAGTCTGGAAAATGACCTTGAAGCTCGTCATTAGTGGAAATGAGGTGTCACCTTTTTATTGATTGAGAGATCCAACTTCTTATGTAAGTTCATAGGTGCTTTATAGGCATTATGATTCTAGATTTTCTCCAAACTTTGACATAAATCTTTCTATTCTGGGAGAGGTAAACTGTCAGTTTTCTATGAATTATTGTTTCTCCCTTACCACTTGTATTGAATACTAATCACAGCTGGTTGATTGTCTCATTATGCATTTCTATTAAGAAAGGGAATATAGTGGAATCCATGCCCAGCTAGTAAGATATGTGAATTATTGTTCTCTGCCAGACTCACTGCAAAAGATGACAAATTTATGTCTGAATTTAAATAATACCCCTTGCGCTCTCTGTGATATAATAAAAGGCTGTCTACTTTAACTCAACTAATTAGTGCTACTGCTATATCTTATATATTGTAATCCGTGGAACTTACCCAATGATAAGAGAGGTAATATCTCTCCTAGACCGGAGATTAGAGGATTGCTTCCTGCATTGTGATGATTCCAAACTTGAATTCCTCAGACTCGGATTGCTTAATGATGATCATGAGGGTCTACCTAAGTAGTACATACTAATTACAGTTGTTCCTTAAAAGTCAATTAAACTGACAATGTCAATATGGCTTTTCTGAGCATCCATAAAATCATAACATATTTATTGTACATGTCAGATTTATGAGTTATACTGTCTATTCTATATGCATGATCAAGTGTTTTTGAAGATGGAAGAGATTCTGATTGCGGGGACACATTTCAATCTTGCGCTCTTTGTTAATCTTTTGCAGATGCCTTCATCGGTGTAAACCTTGGTACAGACCTCTCTGACATGCCAAGCCCAACTCAGGTGGTTGCACTTCTTAAAGCTCAAAATATTCGACATATCAGGCTCTATGATGCAGACAGAGCCATGCTCCTCGCTCTTGCAAACACAGGCATCCAAGTGACTGTTTCTGTTCCCAATGATCAGCTCCTTGGGATTGGTCAGTCCAATGCCACTGCTGCCAACTGGATTGCTCGCAATGTGATAGCCCATGTCCCTGCCACCAACATCACTTCTATAGCTGTTGGATCTGAAGTCCTAAGTGCCCTCCCAAATGCTGCTCCAGTCCTAGTTTCTGCCCTAAAATTCATTCACTCTGCACTTGTCGCGTCTAACCTTGACCGCCAAATTAAAGTCTCTACTCCACACTCTTCAGCCATTATTCTTGACTCCTTTCCACCGTCCCAAGCCTTCTTCAATCGCTCATGGGACCCTGTCATGGTTCCCCTGCTCAAGTTTTTGCAGTCTACAGATTCATATCTCATGCTCAATGTCTACCCATATTATGATTACATGCAATCAAACGGTGTAATCCCCTTGGACTATGCACTTTTCCGCCCTCTCCCTCCAAACAAGGAAGCTGTGGATGCTAATACACTACTGCATTATACTAATGTCTTTGATGCAATTGTTGATGCAGCGTATTTTGCAATGTCCTATCTAAACTTCACTAAACTCCCCATTGTAGTGACCGAGTCAGGTTGGCCCTCCAAGGGTGACTCATCAGAGCCAGATGCCACACTTGATAATGCCAACACTTACAATAGTAACTTAATTAAGCATGTGCTTAACAACACAGGGACTCCTAAGCATCCTGGGATTGTTGTTAGTACTTACATTTATGAACTCTACAATGAGGATTTGAGACCTGGATCAGTCTCTGAAAAGAATTGGGGACTTTTTAATGCAAATGGAGTGCCAGTTTATACCTTGCACTTAACAGGTGCTGGAACTGTGTTGGCAAATGACACGACAAATCAAACCTTTTGTGTTGCGAAGGAGGGTGCTGACCAAAAGATGCTACAGGCAGCCTTGGACTGGGCTTGTGGACCGGGGAAAGTTGATTGCTCACCTTTGCTCCAGGGGCAACCATGTTATGAGCCAGATAATGTGCTTACACACGCAACATATGCTGTCAATGCCTATTTTCAGCGGATGGCTAAGTCTCCTGGGACTTGTGATTTCAAAGGGGTGGCTACGGTTACTACCACAGACCCAAGTAAGGCATCATGACATGTTTATTTCTATTATAATATCATATAAGGCAGAACAGTTTATGAGCATAGATCATCTAAAACTTAGGTAGTGAAGAGATCAAGTAGAAAAGTAATTAACCACATCAAAAATATAATATAAAAGAGGTAGGGTTCACATGTGATCGTTTTCTATTTTATGGCATGGGCTTTCACATATGATTAATTTTTGCACTACCCGTGTTATATTCTGCATTTTTGTTGGTGAAATTCTTGCTTTGTTACTGATATATTTCATTGCCAAATCTTGTAGGTCATGGCACTTGTATATTTCCAGGAAGGTACAAGTTAAAGCTTTCGTATGTTATTATTATGATCATATTTAACTCTCATGGGACTGCCAGAAATGATCTAACCTTCCTTTTGCTTCCTTTTTCCATTTTTGTGAATGTAGTGGTGGAAGAAACAGCAGTTTCATAAATGGCACATCACTGGCTCCATCTTCAAATTCCACAACTTCTGGGTGTCTTTCACTATTTTTCTACAGTGGCGGTTCCTTCACAAGCTCTGTGATCATTGGTCTCTTAGTTTTGAGTGCAGTTTTCTTGTAGAACAACATGAATTTGTATTTTCTGCAACTCTATTGATAGAACTGAAATATTTTTTAGAGATTCAGCTTGGCACCCGTTGGGAAACTTGCAGCAATACCCAATTTTGTTCCCTCCCAAGAGGAATTAGGGGGTGGCAAGCTTGATTGAACATATATAGCCAGCAAAGTGGTTGAAAGTGAGTTGACCATTGGAATTTGTAGAAACAAATCAGAGGGGATCTTTTAGGATTATTTTCTGTAACTACCTCATTTGCGTGATTTTCCATCAAAGGCAAAAATTCTTTATGCTTGACTTCAATTCGTCGGTGATGATTTCAACCGTATCTTCATGTAAATCTGCCTGTTAATCTTTCTATCCTGGCTGTTATTTCGTAGGTTTTGTGAGTATTAGCTTCAATGAGGAACATAAATCATCCAATTGTTCAATTGACAGTGCACAATCAAATTATTCAGTTATATAGTGCAAATCTATAATGAACTTCGCATAACATGCTTTGCTCGTTTAAACCATTCCTCGTCTGAAGATGTCCTACTATCAACTTGTATCAAAATAAAACAATTGGATCCTCATCATCAGTCAAGCTCAAGACCTCGTCCTCTAGATATTAAAATTTGCACAACAAACATCACAGACGAAACCTGTTGACCCGGGAGGACAGGACCCGTTGTGGGCATGTTGCTTACAATATGGCTTGTTGCAGAAGTCACATTTGGGGAGCTGAAGCCAGCAATCTGAACACAAGATATCTGCACACACAGCCTCTTCTACTTCTTCAGAGTCGTCCACGCATCCACCGCATTCTTGGCACCTTGGAATGCAAAAGTTGCATCCCCTGCAATCACTCATTGACCTTCCTATCTTTCTCTTGCAAGTCCTTCTTGGACAGTCGAAAACCATCCTAACCTCGTCGCATTTCAGGCAAACTTCGACATCGATTGTAGTGTAACCTTTGTCATGTCTGAATGTTGGCACGTCCCTGTGCTCGTGGAATAGGAGTGGCCATGATCCTGACTGCTCTTGCTGTGACAGGTTCTTCTCAAGATAAGGCCGAAGTGTTTCGAGTTGTTCTTTGTTTATGTTGTAGATACCATTGATCATTAGGCTCTTTAAACCGTGATGATGTTCAGACAATGTCTTCACAGCTCCTATGACTCCCTCAGGTGTTAAGCCAGTGCATCCCGGTAGGTAGAGCTGAATCAAAAGCAAACACAAAATAGGAGACAAATAAATAAACTTTTTATTTCATCTCTATTAAATCATAAAGTAATTCCTAACAATCGTATCTTATCCACATCTAATAATTAATTACATGAGAAATAATTAATCAACATCCATACCTTGTTGATAAGAGGATTTCGCTCTACAACCCTTTGAAGCCCATCATCTGTTATCTTCGCACAATCCATTAGAGCCAAAGTTCTCAACCTGCCATTCGCCTTGGATGTGATTTTCATCAAAATCTCATCGGACAGCCTCAAGTTCAAGGGCGATTTGACCGCAATATCTAGCCATGACAATACATCCTTGTTTACTGCGTCTCTCAGTGACGTGCAAACTCCGCTTATGGCAAGAAGGTCGAACAGAGGAAGGTAAGCTGAAATAAGGGACAAAGCCATGTGTGGTGGCCCTGCTTTTTTGTCCTGGGAGTTTTCAATAGCTTCATTTTCTTGCTGCCCCATAAACTGTGAAATCTCCATGGTTTTGGGTTTCAGCTGTCGCAGCGGTTTTTTTCCTTTCTTCCAGAAATAAATCGAAAGGAGATTTCACAGTTTGTACTGGGGTGAGAGAGAGAAGGAGATTACAACTCTGATTTCGTGATTGGGACTGATAAAGAACAGTTTGTGCAAGTTGTAAGTCGGTAGAAAGAAAATATCTCAAACTTTTCTTTCTTTACACGCAAATAACACTGCACTGTCAAATGCTATGTTACATTTAATCAAAATTTTAACAGCATTCTAAGATATGGATACGTCAGATACCATGGCACGGCTTCAAAAACGTTTCGCTGCAACAAATATTTAACTTAACGGAAAACGAGTCTTTGCAACTCATTAGAAGAAAATATCACTCATCGCTGCTTTGAATATAAAGCTCATGAGCGCAGCATGAAAAACTACAAGAGGGTACACTGATGTTCATACTTATTTTGAAGTCTATAATTTTACATATAAACTGACAGTGCACAATTATAAAAACGTCACGCCGACAAGCATAGAACTAAAATGGGTGGAAATTTTCAATGGTCCAAAGGCTCAACTGCTGTTTTGAAAAGAAGAATGTAAACCTTGTCGATCGAAAAATACAAGAACCCTCCTGTGGAATGTGTGACATACGAACCAAAGCTAGTTCCCACAATGCAGTGCCAAGCTGGACCATATGACGAGTCAAATTCCTGTCAAGTAATAAAGATACATTGAGAACTCTCTATATGTCAGAGCACGTTAGGGTTAAAGAAGAAGAGTTACTCGTGAGCATATTCAGTTAAAAATTGCATTTACACTGCAATGCTTGCTTGCACAACGTGAGCATATTCAGTTATCAATTTTCAAAGCCAAAAAACGATGTGAAGCTATAATTTATCAAGAAGTTTGTCATAAACTGATGTTTGTGGGAGTCTTAGAGAGAGGAATTCAATTTTATTCAAGAAATTGTTCTGGTAGAAGAACAGAGAATGAGAACTGAGGTGTCAATCAGGCATAACCTAATTTGCTTGAGACTTACAAAGCTCAATTCTAGTCTCAGAGACAGAAAATGCCTGCTTATTTGATAACCCATAGTAAGCTGTGGACCAAGTCCTTTCATTTCTCATTTTTTTCCTTTTTCTTATAAACACTCAAAATCCTGAATACAGATAAATCCCCTTTGATTTTTTATCATTAAAAACCCAGATGGATTAATAAAAGAAAACATAGCCAGAAATATATCAGAACCTATGCGGCAAACATTGAGATTGAAAATCCTCCATATACATATATTTATGGTTATGTCCTTGTGTTCGTGCATGTATCAAACTGAAACTGGACCATTTGTAGTTTACCTCATTTGATCTATACCCATTACTCAAAATACTTCAATTAACAATGTAAGCATGACCAAGTTCGAGTTTTTAACTCTGACACACACACTACAAAGTTACAATCCAAAAGGATCAAATCCCAGAAAGACAAAGAAAAAGTATAATCTGATCGAGGCAAAGATGTGACCTTCTTAAGGGCAAGAGCGAGTCGTTTGCTGTCGAGTTTCCCCGGCATGGAGTCCAGGTGGTCCCTCGCAGAGCGAAAGGCGCGGTTTTGCAAAGGGGTGGGCATGTCAGAGGCCCTAACTCGGACATTGAGGAGTTCATGGTGGTCTTGTTGCTCTACAGACTTCTTCTTCTGTATTAAACTGCTGAGGAACTTGCTTCGCCTCTCTAGCTCCAACTCTGCTCCCTCCATTTGTCTGTGTCGATGATTCACTCTCTCATATCAGTCAAAAAAGCCTCTGTCTTGCTTGCTTTGAGTCAGTGGGTGGCACTGCTCATGCATTCGATATGTTTGGAAAAAGGTTTCTGAGAAGAAAGAAAAGGATATAAAAGAGAGAGTGAAGAGAGAGGGAGCAGACAGAGGGGTCTCGATTGCAATGTTCTTTGGGTTTGGGGAGATTTTGATATATTAATTTTGTTTGTGTTTTCTTTTGATGCATTGTTTGTTGCGTATGGACGGGGTCGTTGGACTAGGTGAAGAGGAGACTACTTTTCCATACTTCGATTACTTGAAAGCTACGGACCAAAACAAACAGCCTTGCCGTAATGGCGCAAAGAATTTCTTTTGTTTTCTGTCGTTTAGAGATCATTTCTGTATGACTGTCATAAACACTTCACCATGCTGTAATTTTCTTTTCTCAGAAGGAAAAAGAAAAAAAATTCACCATAAAAATAAAAATAAAAATAATAACATTTTCTTTGGCACATTGGGTAAGAGATAATACCAAAATATAATTTGTGCTGAAGTTGAGCTGAAAGGGTGAATGGCGTTTTCAATGTTGGAAGTTGCAACAAAGCATCTAAAACAATTGTGATGTTTGTTTTTTACAAAGTGATATTTTAATTACTCTAATATATAGAAAGAGATACCGAACTCGAGTGCAAAAGGCGACATTGGCCTGCCCCGTATCTGCACAACTATAATGTTTGTTTATATGTACCATTCGTGTAAATTCTGTTCTACTATTACAACTTTAATTGGTTGTACAAAATTAACAAGAATACCTTACTAGTAACTGGGCAGTCATCCGGAATAGGATTGAACCTTTTCCAGGAAAAACACGGTAATTGCGGAGAAAAGAAAGGGAAAGAAGTAAGAATGATGATAGGGTCCATGGGGGCCCTCTGAAATAAATAATGTTTGAAAAGTTTTGTGAATGTTGACTGACTGGACTAAAGTCCAGAATGCGTGGATCCCACTTCATGGTTTTCATCCCACCCAAGCTTCAAACTTTCCACATAGATATACAGTCAAACAAACTGACTGCTGCCCAACCACACAAATAAAAAAGACATTGGAACACTGTATAACGTAGTACATAGGGTTCGTCATCTGGTCGGGCCGGATCTAAATTTTTGGATTCGGATCAGGATTTGTCGGGCTTTTTCTTTCTTTAGGTCAAGCTGATGTTTGAAAGGAATCGGCTCAAATCCGTTTGTAGAGTTGGGCTTAAGTGGACATTTCGGGTCGGTGCAAAGCCAGGCTATCCACAGGCCACCCATTGCTTCTTCTTATTTTTTTGCCTTATTGCCATTTATTTAAGTTTACAATATAAATAAGGAAGTATCATTAATTTGAATTCAATTAAAAAAATACTAGAAAATCAAATTCTCAACCAATCAAAATATGAAAATCCAATTTTAGTAGAAGATACAGTTTATATCAATATTGATACCTCAATAAGTCTATGTATACTTTATACTAAAATCTCATAAAATCTGCAAATGACCCACTAGTATAGTGATTTGAAGTAATTGCTGAGAATACTAATTCATTATATTGAACTCCAAATCTATTTATTTATGTTTGTTTACACGACAGAAAATTACATCAAACATTCAACATTTCATGCATCTTTTATTATATATAAAATCATGACATTGAACTCGGAATAAACATTAATCCACTGAATATTATATATATATATGAAAGAAAAAATAAATAAAGGCTCGCGTTTTTTCTTCTTTTCTGGCTTAAATCATGCTTTAGGAAGTTTCATTTATCGCGACTCATGCCTTGCTCCACCACCGGAGGCACAGGGGTCATTGCCACTTCCCGGTTCCTTTCCTCGATATTTCCATGCCATCCTATTCAATTAATTAATCACACACATCGTCAACATTAAGTCAATGCATTTTAAAGACCAAAACAAAGCCATATATATATATATATATATATTCGATTGGAAAAAGATCACTTGAACTTCTGGCTAAAACAAAAAGGAAATTTGCCCAAGATTTGCCTTCTTCCGCTCTGGTGTACACCAACTTCGGGGTTGCTTCGAGGGTGCAGAGCTGGGGGAGGATTTATCCTTGTACCAGGGAAAAGAAAGAAAAAAAAAGGAGGAGGAAATTTGCTTCTAGAGGTTTTAAAAGGACACTTGCTTCGAAAAAAACTTTCTTCTTTTGTACTTCTTTCCTTTTAAAATATATATTAGAATAGAAAGAGAGAGAAAGACAAAGTTTATGCAAACATGAAACAGATAGATGACTAATATTCTAGTAATTAAGCACATGATTGTCCATGTTGTTTGGTGTGATGTTCCCTCCCTCGGATTCGTATTCAAGCTATCAGATTAGTATTAAATATAGAGTTTAACCATAATTAATTGTGGGATTGATTAGATTAGAAGAAGAACAAGAAGGAGGAACAAGAATTGAGTATAGTAGTATGTACCGATGGCCATGTCGAAACCGCGAGATTGGAGGTGGCGATACTCTTGGCAGAGGGCGCAGAACTCGCAGAAGCAGTGAAGCAAGCAGTCGTTACAAGGGCTCTCCTCCAAGGCGTATTGCTGTCTCATTTTGGATCGATAGAAGCATGAGTAGAAGCAAGGGCAACCTGTCACGCACGATATCAGCGTGTACAACGCTCCACTGGCACCACATGCTGCCATGCCATTGCATTTCATCATAACACCAACAATTATATTAATTAATTCATTAAACAATCAAACGAATCAACAAACACAAGCTAAAAGGGTAATTAAATCTACTTACACGTAGAACCCTTGTCCACAATCTCTGCAATTTGGCCAAAAGTGATGCATGGACACCAACATGTTATGCAACCTGCAGTTGTTATTATTAGTACAATCAAGCAAAGTAAATTACCCCTAAGATATATCATCATATAAATACATAAAAATGATGCTTTGCTAAGCCTAAGCTTACAGTTTTTGGGATCGGAGAAGCAGTCACAGAGGCCAGAGGACCAAGGCACGGGAGCTCTAGGGCGGAGATGAGGAGGGACTTGGCTGTGGCTGTAAGGGTGGTGGCTGTGGCTGTCGGTGTCTTGATCTTGACTGGTGCTAAAATAGGGCTCCGTGCTCGAGCTCACTGGGATCCCCGTGGGCGGCCCACCCTGATGATGCAGCTGCTCTGATGCGTACTTGTGGTAACCATCATTTGGGTTTGATGATGAGTACATGATGATGATGAGGATGATCTGCAGATATTGAACAAGAGATTAAGAATGCCTTAAGGTTTTTGGGAGAAGAGAGTGGTTTTGCAAGCTAGCTACCTACAATAATGTTCTCCTAATTGAGAAATAGATATGAAGGCCGGCTAGACTTTGAAAAAGCCAGCAATTAATTAATGACGAATGTCAAACAATGAACGGTTGGTTCGCGTTGGCCCCTTGCTCTCACTGGTACGCCACCTTGACTTTGACTCAGTGACTAAGTCTCCCCTCTGCCAGCCTTCGCGTGTGCTTCCTACACAATCATCCCCTCACAAATCTTATCTACTTCTCTTCTGTTCATGTGTTTTCACCATCAATACTTGCGTATTTTCTGAGAAGTTTGTCTGTATTTTAGATGATCATTCATGACATCGTCATCAACAACATCAATATAAGAGGATGCGAAAGGACATGCAATATATTAACATTCGAATCTATTAACGATACTGGAGCAAAGAGGTTGGGTGGTTTACCACACACCTCAACTCGGCTCTGGTACCAAAACGTTGGTCTAGTATAATAAATTAAACCATAACGGGCCCAATATGCCATGTAAACATTTGTTTCCACTGCCCATGAGGAGCCCAGTCAACGCTGTAAGCGCATTTATAAATCCAATTTGCATAGGCCTTTTGAGCTTCAGGAGTTTGATCCAATGGCCTTGCAACTAATGGGCCTATACATTTGCTGGTGCGAAAAAGTGGTTCGACACTTTTTAGGCTCAACTTAGTGATGTTGGGCCTTCGATATGCCTCGGGTCTCTGTGGAGAGTGTAATCTACAAGATAACAAACGTTCGGTAAGACCTTAGACACCGGTGTGGTACCGGCCGAAGGCTCTCCGATGCTTCAATAAGTATGGATTTAGTAAACTTAGACTGACAGATCAATAGGCTATATGCAGTAAGTTCCGATTACCTCCATTTAGGGAGAGTGGTCCTATTTATAGGCCTTGGGAGGTGTGCTTATTGTTTAGAATTTCGATGTGGAACTATGGACGTTGATTGTGGGCACGCCACGTGTCTTATAGAAGGAAGTTGCCCTAATCGTTGGATCGGTAGGCAAGATGTCGAAGGCCACCATTGTCAAGCTCAATCTTGTCCACGTGTCTGGCCCTAATAGGCTGTTCATTTTGGTATAAACAACATTCCCAGTCCAAAGTTAGGAGTGGAGAACAATTACTTGAGATCTTGTATTGGAATCCTTCTTCCTCAATATCGCTTGTATCAAAAAAATTATAATTGTGAGTTGTTGCTGCACAATTATAACCAATTTCCAGATTGGTATAATTAATTTTAAATTTATTTACTTTCAACCACTAAAATATTACCATATCACCTTACACATTATTTAGTGATCGAAATTTATGGTGTGTTTACTAATCATGAATTGAAATTCTCATCAAGAATTGAATTCCACCTATGGAGGATTCCTATGTTTACTTCATATTAAGGTATTAAAAAGTAAGTGGGACCCATACAAAATTAGAAATTGTATTCTTGATTTTAGAGGAATTTAATTTATGGATGGAAAGTGGTATTCTAATTCATAGATAATTAACCCATTAGAAATTCATCTTTTTTACTCATTATATTCTCACACAATTTTCAAAATTTCAAATTTTCCATATACTTTAACTCATCAATAAAGACATTTTAGTAATTAGTACTAATTAGTACCACTCATACTCCAATTCCATATAATTTAATAAACAACTTCAATAGGAATTTGGAATCCAATTCTTCTCAATTCATATGGTTTAATAAACAACTTCAATAGAAATCTGAAATCTAATTATTCTCAATCTAACTTCTCATCAATTCAATTGCTCCTAATTTAATTAGGAATTAGTAAACATGCCATTAGACAAACTTAAAGTTTGAAATGCAACATGACAAAAAAGCTGCTTTTTTTTCCCCTTGGGTACAACTTTAAATGCAACTTTGTTGTTTCCTCATTGATTGGGTATTTCTTGGGAACAATTAGAATGTTTCAGACTAAATGGGGTAGGTAGGTAGGGGTGGGTGACCTTAGCGCACCACTACAACACTCATTTACATTTGCTTGCTGCTCAAATCAATAGTGGGCTGAAAAATATGCAAGTAGGCCCACCAACGGCGCATTGATGTACGTTGTGGGCTCTGATTCTTGGAAGAAGGGCCTCGAGTCTGGGAACGCATCTGAGCTATTGGGACCCCCCACCACCGCTCCCACCAGCAAATTCGGGTTCGGATTTGGACTCAAGAAATATCGAGAGCCGGCTTTGCAACCAATGTGGGCCGGGTGGACCTGAACCGATGGCAGTGAGCTGCCCCGGTGGTGTATCCTCTGCGGGTAGCGTGCACCGTATCCAACCATGTACGACATCATCAATGGATTATCACCAAGTATGTAGTCCACCTGAAAATTGCATTGAGGAAAAGCCAAAACGCCAGTTACAATACTGTCCCCAAACTTGAATATAATTGCAGAAGCACCCTTGTTCACGTGGGTGGGTGCCCTCTGGATCAAAGGCCATTCAATCATTCATTCTTTTTTCAATGTGGGGACAATTGCATAGAATTCTTGTAGGTACAAATACATATGTAGACAAGTATATATTATTATTATATATGGCAGAAAGTTAAGGTAAGAGTCAGACAGGACAAGATCAAAATCTATCCGTTAACTTGTCTGATCTAAAGATGGTCCCTGATTAATATGCATATACATATATATATGTGGTTTTGATTAATTACCTGACGTTTAGCCAACAGTTTGAGGAAAGCAGGGGAGGCTGAAGTCTGGCCACAGGGCACGGCTTTGTTGGCATGGCTTAGATAGTTGGAATAAGCCAAAAGTAGGAACGAAAGTGAGGTTACATGCTGCATGTTACTGCCTCCAGGTTTGAAGATCAACCCACCTTTCAAAAACCAGATCAATTACTCCACTTATTTGATTAGCAAGTAAAGTAAACCGGGATTAAGGGTTTAACAACCCATTGGTGACAAACAAAAGCAATTAAAGCAGGACAAAATTTTCTCATGAACCCAAGAATGAAGAATTTGGTTTGGTGGTATCACATTATTTTCTCGGACGCGGGGTTTTTCTACAATTATTATTTAAAGCTTGTGATCTCGATTTTTTTAATGAAGAAAAATACCTGGAGAATATTGGACTTGAGGATGAGAAAGTCCGGGCAATATGGAACATATAAACTCATCAGCATTTTGCTTGAAAGATTGGAAATAATCTGCTTTTCCCATCAGCACTTCCTGCCACATATTTTTACACAAACCAAAAGTACATTTTAATTTCCTTCTCTGAGATACTAAGAGACTGAGAGTGACACATAAATTGTGTATATTTTAATTGCAAAACCCAATCAATCGGGCATTCATTCGAGAAGATGATCTTCAATTTATTTACAATCTTTCAGTCTGTCATGTATCAATAATATTCAGTGCACAAAACATAACGTGGTATCTTGCTCAAAAGAAAAAAACATAAGTGGATAACAAGATAAACATGTGAAAAAGATCACATTTTTTTAAATATGAGACCGACTAGGTTTGAAGAAAAGTTGTTCGTAGAGGAATAATGGCTCAAGGCGTATGGGAAGAACCATCTTCTCAGCCTTTAAGCACATGCATGCAGCAGTGACTCACTGATTGAGGGACCCACGAGAGTCCCAGATCTAAAGATAGAGGTGCAGACCTGGACGCCACCTGGCTCATTACTGCTCTTTTTCTGATTGAAGGGACAACACAATGCCAAAAATCCATTGACTCTAAAGTCCTTTCTGCCCCTCATGGATCACCCTTGTTTAAAATCTAAACGTTGCTAATGCAGTGGCATTTTGGACAGGAAGGGAAAGCCCAATTGTAAGCTAACAGCGATCATGTGCAATAATCCACTTGATTCATGAACCTTTTCCAACAAATTTTCCTTCCGTTTCGCTGTTTTTTATATTTATCAAACAAGTTTTACCTTTTAACTTTACATAACTATTCCTAAGCATGTATTATTAATTTATTTCACGAACTAAGATGTACGGATCGCACATCTTTAACTTATTCAAGTTGATGAAAACCGTATGGCCATGGGGTCCACTGCACCACCAAAACCATGTTGCACATGTTGGATAATGGATAATAATTTGCACAAATTCATTCTATGTGATAGCTGAACTTTTATTTTTCTTTATTATAGGGTTATAGGGTTCTACATTTAGACATAGTTCTAGTTCCAGAGCACGTGATTCGCAGAGCATACACCTATGTTTGCATTAAGGCCATAAATAAATAAATGGTTGCCACATTCCATACAAGAGCATAAAGACAAAAAGAATAAAAACACTGATAGAGACAAACATACTTATTAAATAAGTTATTAATATAATGATTAAGCAGTAAGAAGAAGTTAATTAAGAAATTTATGTTAAGATTTGCTTCGCTTAACATAAGTACCTTGGAAATGAGGATGTTAATCCCAGCATGCTTGTTATCCCAACCAAACTCGTTAATAGTATCCCCTGCCCTCAACACCACCTCGTTCTTCACTATGTATTCTCGGTAAACGCGCCTCCTCGATGCCTTGTGCAACCACGCTGCTCCCCAAAGCAACTCGTCCTGCAATGTTAAATCATTCTATTAACGTAGCTGCTAGCTGATGGGCCCAAGATTTTGGACCTATAACCAGATCTAACGGCTGAAAATCAGTTTCAGTAACTCCGAAATGGAGAAACAGAAAAAATATTTATAAAGAAAGTCAAAAAGTTGCTGACCTGGAAACCGTTCACGTCGCAGTAAAAAGGGCAAACGGCAGAGCGCAGGCTGGCGCTGTACGCACCCCGGTGCCTGTCAGCGAACTCGAACACCTACAAACAGATATCGTCCATTTACTTTCACGGTTTTACTTTTACCCAAGGTTAATGAATAAACAGGGAGTGAGTGACAGCGACGTACCCTAACGGCTCGATTGAGGAGCAATCTAGAGTAGGCGGGGTCACGTGACCTGAACACGATGGACGCAGCGGCAAGTGCAGCGGCCGTTTCACCTGCCACGTCAGATCCCGGATGGTTCTTATCGATCTTGTACACCGCGCGAGACGTGTCCATGTCCTCGGGCCTCTCCCAGCAGTTGTGGTCAGAGTACGGATCCCCGACCTGGACGAAAACGACGTCGGGCACCGCCGTCGCCTTGAGGAGATAGTCGGTGCCCCACTTCACGGCCCGAACCGTGTTCTTCAGCTCCGGGCCCATGGTTCGACCGAAGTCTATGACGCTCCAAGCAAGCAACGTCGTCGTGAAGGCCATCGGGAACCCGAACTTAATGTTGTCGCCGGCGTCGTAGTACCCGCCCGTTAAGTCCACCTGAAGTCAGCAAACGGAACGTCACAAAAGAAAAAACAAGTAAATTTAAACGCGGCGTTGTGAAAAGTGGGAGGAGTGTTAGGGAGGGGAAGAGTGTATGGAGTGGGAATTACTCCGGCGGTGGATCCGTCGTGCAATGCGGAGTCGCGGCGCCATTTCAATCGTTGATCTGGGGGGAGCTTTCCGGAGCGTTGGCCTTCGAAGAATAGGATGCTCTTGCGGAGGGCGTCGTGGTAGTCGTGGCCGGCGCTGATTGGGTGCAGAAGAAGGGAAACGAGGAGGAGGAGGGCGAGAGTCACGCGAAATGCGGAAACATTCCCCGGGAGGCAGAGGACGTTTGGCGCCATTTTTGTTGGTGGTGGGAGCAATTTGGAGCAACCGTCGTGGGTTCTTTATAACGAAAAGACGTCATTGGATTCCAGAGCATGGGCCAATGGGAAAGGAACACGTGGATGGATATTACTGGGAGGTGCTCGGATACCAATGCAGGACATGCGTGACTGGGTCACTTCGGGTTCTTTGACTTATTGGACCCGGCTTGGACCGAAGCGGTGTTGTAAATAATTTAGTAGTTAATAGTAATAGAAACTGACATAGTAAGCCTACTTAAAAGAGAAAGAATCGACGGTGATGAAGTTGTGAAATTAATTATGATGGAGTTGCATATGGTCCAGGGTGCGATGGATGGGTCACACGTGGAAGGAGTGAGCGGTGTTGGGGCCACAGTGATTTTGGGCATTTTACATTCCAATTTCCAATGGAGATATAGATAGATAGGAAGCAGAAGTGTAGAAGAAAGTGATGAAGGAGGATTGTGGATTTGATTGGATTTGGAGTGGGAGTGGCAGGAGGAGGGAATGATCCTGAAGCGTCAGATTACATTATAAGGTTGACTGTGTTTGTTCGAATTTGGACCAATGTACAATGGGAATATGAGACTGAGCGATCTCTCTTGTGATTTGCTTTTGGACATAAAAAATGTGTTTAAACTTCGGATGAAAATTTTCCAATGGGTTCCACCGTACGTTCGTAGATTATTTACATATGATATTTGTGGTCCTCCCACAAATGGATTTCAATCAGACAAAATTTGAATGGAATATTTTTCAAAGGGCAAGCTGAGGTGAGGTGAGCCTGCAAAATATTTTTCTGAAACTTGTCTTACAGCTAAAGAGTATCAAATAAAATCCAATGTAACGTAACTCCCTACTTGCAGTTTGCTCTTATATATGGCCAGCTCAATTAAGGAGGCATCGAGCACCTTTCTGAGTTGTGTAGAGCTTTTTATCAGTTGATACAAACGATATTCTATTTTAATATAATTTAAAAGGAGGGGATTTGAACTTAGGTATTGAGTGAGGAGCACATATGCTTTAATGAATTTGGCTAAACCATATATGCAGTTGTTTAAAGCCTTTTGTGGTTGTCATATGATACATATTATAAACACAAATAAGCAATCAAAGCTTACCCAAGTAATGAGGAAGACTGAGCAGTAAATTGATTCTCCATCAATTTTAATCAAATAATTGTACATGTGACTTGTGATGAGTAGTTATGATATGATTAAGCTTTCGGAAAATCTATGTTAATAAAGAATTTTAATGTTGGGTTGAATCAAGGGCATCATGTGATTCATCATAACCATTTGCCCAATCTAAGGCTATAGACAATCCACCGAAAGGAAGGCATTCTTTTCTGTCAATTAATAATACGAATACGAATACGATGAACCCCTTTTTCCCAAGAAAAGACTATGAGTTCGACTCCTGGTATTTGTGTAGTGTGTTTGAGTTTAATATATTATCGCTTCTCTAAATAGAAAAACTCCTTAAAAAAGAAAAACAAAAACAAAAAAACAAAAAAAGATTGAAGCTAATGGATCCAATTGAACCAGGGCTAGTTAAATTGTGTCAACAACTTGCAATGGGCCTCTCTATGGGTTTCATATGAAAAGGCCACCTAAATTAACACATAAGAAAAGGGCAAAATTCAATGGGTCTCAAAATACAGAGAAAACGGACCCATTAGTTGAACTACAGTCCAAGCCCAACCCCATTCAAACAAAATTCACATAGAAAGTGCGAACTCTTGTAAGCCCACAATAAAAAATAAATTGGTATTTGTTTGAACAGAACAGTCATTTCACTTGTCAATAGGCATCGTTTGACCACAATTACATGCTGAGATTGCAGAGCGATGATTTTTTGGTAGTATTTAAGTTAAAGATTGGTGATATACTTTTAATTGCTGTTGAATTGTATATAAGAGACTACCAATACATTTAATGAATGTAATTCAACAATCAAAATTAGAAGTATATAACTAATTCTTAATATAAAATATTTATTAAAGAATCTCTCACAGTACCAATAATTAAAATATTTTGTATGTATGTATTTCAGCTCAAAACAAAAGCTGCCATTCTAACAGTAACGGAGTAACAGAGTAACAGACAGCGACTGCCAAACCGAATAACCAAATACCGAAATTGTGGCCCGCGAGTTTCGAGATCAAACTGTACACCCGCAAAATGAGCTCAAACCCAAGACCATGATTATAAAATTAAATTGTAAAAGCACCCAATTGGACTAAAAAATTAACTACTACTTACTTTGGACTAGAAAAGTAAAAGTGATGGTAGTGAGTGGGGCAGTGACCTGACCCAAAAGCTATTTCTCAGATTAATTAAGGAAGAGGAAAGCATAATTAAATTAATTACAACTTGATTCATTATCAACCCAACCCAACCCAACTGAGAGAAAGGTAAGAAGATATACGCGAACACAAGATTTTAACAGGTCCATCGAATCATTATTTCGACCCAAAAGCTCTCTGTGGTTCACAAGTCAATGAAAGTCTTTATGAAACCCTAAACTTGGTGTTTAAAAAGAAAATATTTCATCAGATAGTTTAAAAGAAAATGTTGAGAATGATTGTTATGATACACTTTGAATTAAAATAGTAAACAAAATTGCTCTTGTTTAGAAATGCTAGCAATCAAAAACCGTAAAGCATCAATTATTATATATTCATTAAACTGTAGGCCTAGCTAGCTGCAATGGAATCACGTACGCACATACAGCATCTAGGCCTTTAACATATGAGCTAGCTAATGACATGGCTATAATTCAATTGCTCTTTAATTACGGTGACATCTCCCCTTGTTTAACGCAACTGAATTAGGTCAAATAATCTTGACTTAATCTGACAATGATGCATGGCTGGCCCCGTGCCATGGGGTTGGCCCATATAGCTGAAACCATGGTTTATCTCTTCTCAAAACATTTACTAACCAAAGGTTAAAAACTCAACCTCGGTCTCTGTGATCCTCCTCAATCATGACCCATGTTTCCCTTTTGCAAATCTTCAACTTTAAACCAAGAAGAAAATCTGCGGCGGCCCTGCAGACAAACCCACAACAACTCATTACAAGCTTTTACATGACGATGGGGTTTGATGATGTTCTCCCTCATCCTCCTGTCCCGTCCTGTCCACCACCGCATTCTATATCATCAATACTGTGAACTCATACGCTATTATTTCTATTCGTTTGCTTTGAGTCAATTACGCCGGTGTGCCCGTGAATCAATTACTTATTTATATATACATATATATATATGTATCTTCTCCCAAAAGCTTCAACAGTTAATTCATATTAATTTTGGGATCACAAGAGCTTAATTGTGATTAATTACCAAACATAACATCAAACTTAAAAACTCAAGAGGCAGTAGACATCCCTAGCGCTCTTATAATACCACCATCAAAAAAGCTATGTATAAGCTGACCTTCAACTTGTTATGTGTTAGCATCGCACTTTCCACCAATCAATTTACCTAAAACTGACAATTCATACGTAGCTTTGCTTTCCTTGGTGGATGGCGCACGTAAAATTAACTGATACATTTGACTTTGAATGATTTAACGAGTGTGGTATTTTCTTGTGTTTACACTGAATACGCCCTGATACTTTGTAGTGATGCAATGATTCTGTGGTTGCGTAGTGAAACTAACAATAGTGTATTTGGACTTTGAACCCCACACTCTACGCTGGTGCACACTATAAAGTTGCACGCTTGCCAATAGTTTTAGTGGGGGGCGACTACAAAAGCAAATGTCTCACTCTCCTAACCAACACACCCAACCGCCTCAGGAATAAAATGGCAAGAGCACCAGCCGTCCAATTTAATCGCAATTATGGTCATCATTATGTACCCGAGTCGCACTGAATCATTTGATTGGGAGTTGGATGTTTCCATTGCATCGTAGCCGTTGATGACGTTGTCTGGGCAACGGCTGACCGTTAAAATGATATTTTATAAATGCTGTTCATGAGTGAGTACCTATTGCTCTAATGATATATAATTCCAAACGGTATTTTCCCTCCTCCCAGATAAAACCAAAAAAAGGATTATTTGATATAAACGACAACTGAATCATATATTTTTCTATTAAAGAGTATTGCTTAAGAATGAAATCATGGAAGAAAAACGCAGGGATTGTGTATTTTCGTTAAGGAGAGAGAAAATAGGAGATGATGAATTGTAATTAATACTCTTTCTTTTTCTTTTTTTTCAATAAAAAGTCTCTAAAAACTATTAACATGTTTACTTATCATGAGTGAGTATTGAGAGATTTTTCAAATTCTTGACTTTCCATATTAACACCGTAGCACTTAATGAATAAAAAAATAATGTGAATTGTACGTTAAAATCTGTGATCAAATATCCTCAAATTGCAAATTCTTGATTCTTCTATTTAAGTTTCCTGATTCATGACTTCCTTGATTTTGGGTAAGTAAATATTGTCTACTTCCCTAAATAGGAATCCATTGAAAAGAAGGAAGGAGATCAATGGCAATCGTTAATTGGTCAAAGGAGAGTGGGCTATCGTAGCCGTATATAAATAAGTCCCTCTAGCGCTAGGAATATTGTACCACTACTTAAAGAGACCCCCCGCGACTCACATGTACACACACCACAACAAAGGCACAAAGGCAGAAGCAAGCAGAGAGCTCTGTTTCAATAGTTCCCCCAAAACCATGAACACCACCAAAAGCATGACCCTCTTCCAACTCTCGCTCATCATCTTCCTCTTCTTTTTCACCCTCCATTCAATCCCAACCCTCGGATCCCCAACCAACGACGCTGATTTTATCCGTACAAGCTGCGGCACCACGCTCTACCCGCAAGTCTGCTACACCTCTCTCTCCCGCTACGCCAGCGCCATCCAGAACAACCCGGCTCAGCTCGCCAAGGTAGCCATCAGCGTCAGCCTCGCTAAGGCCAGGCGCATGGCCGCTTACGTCTCCGACATCTCCCGCCAAGCAGACTACGGCGCCGACCCTCGATCCGCGGCCGCCCTCCACGACTGCTTCTCCAACTTCGACGAAGCTGTGGACCAGATTCACGATTCGCTCACCCAGATGCGCCAGCTGAGCAGCCCCGCCGGCTCCGGCGGCGGGTCGTTCCTGTTCCAGATGAGCAACGTGCAGACGTGGATGAGCGCCGCGCTGACGGACGAGGAGACCTGCACGGACGGCTTCGAAGACGTGGCGGAAGGGCCCCTGAAGACCGACGTGATCAAGCGAGTGGAGAATGTGAAGAAGGTGACCAGCAATGCGCTTGCGCTCGTGAACAGTTTTGCTCAGAAGGGAGCCGGCGCGCCGACGCCCCGATGAGTGGTTTGAGTTGGTTTTGACCGTTGGAATTAGTGTTAATTAATTAATTAGAGCTAGTAGAGGTTTAATTACATAGTACTCTGTACGCATTTTCTTGCTTAATTGTGTGAGTCAGTCAGAGTGACTTTGTGTAGCAACACCATAAACAGTTGTGTTGTTTTGTGTGTGTGTGTATATTTGGTCTCTTCTCTTCCATTTTCTCCGTCTTCCATCCCTCTAGAGATCTGTTTTTCCTGCATATTATTTTGGATTTAATTCTCTTGTGGCCTTTCATTCTCTTGTGGAGGTTGTGGTTTTTAAATGCAAGTTCAAAAAAATTGAAGAAAAACAGAGTTGATTAGCAACTTGGCCCATCATAACAGATACATGCGTGAATTTGACAATCGGTACAAATTATCGATTACCGTTGAAATAGCCGTTAGGTCGTTTACCACTTAAAACTAACATCAACAATACAAATTAATCCTTCAACATTGTCATCGATCAGAATTTTTCTTTATGTTTGGCTCAAAGCCACCAGAGAAACAAAAAACGAGAAAAGATTTCTCAATTATATATATTTTTTACGGTAAAGCTATGCCTATACCAGCATGGATTTCTGTCACTTAGTTCTGGGCTTTGTATTTTGCGGAACCAACATTAATTTCATTATCTTTGTTAATACGATTTGAAGGAGAGGCCACACTAATCCCCCACTTAACAGGTGTTGATTGTTGTTAACAACAAACAAAACGCAGCAATTTTCATATTACATTAACATAATGTATTATTAGTACCTGCTAATTATTTGATTAAGTTAATAACATAACACTAACTAAATCTAGGCATATCGGAACATGTTGTTAGCTGGTTTGACTATAGCAGCCATTAGCCAATGGCCCGTCGCCCTGTCAAAGAAAGAGAAATTAATCTATTCTTCTTCTTCTTGAATACACCCACGTGATTCTTTGTCTCAACTTGGAACAAAGATATAGACTCATCTGTTACATATGCTCGATTAGGTTACCAAAGAAAGTAAAATATAATTTTCCTCTGGCGGACTGTATACATATACATATTTTCTTAACGTCATATAAGATTAGGGTTCTTACTCCTCCCTAGGGCCGGCATGTCTCGGTTTGCATGGAGTGGCTTGAATTGGAATTTGGAAGTGCATGCGGGCAAACAAATCTTATGACATGATTGCAACTTAGGGTTATTTAACGAGGATGGGCCGAGGGGCTTCTGGTTACCAGTAAAGGTCGCAATGAAGGGTTGATTGAGTGTTTGTTGGGAACCATATGTTGGAGCTGAGAGCATGAGGTCTGGATGTCTCGACAATATGATGGTATATATGCATACGTAACACACAACAGAACCTGAAAATGAAGGCCATAATCATATTCAATATTAATTGGTGTGAAAAGGGGGAGGGAGAGCGATGGGAAGCATAATGTGGAGACGGATTGTTTGGCAGGTTGTAAAAAGGATTTGGGATTTAGCTGAGAGACATCACGAAATAGAACATCACGTGAAATGAAAAAACAAACAAGTGTTTGCATGAAATATTTCCATAGCTAAAAGACAGAAATATCACTATCCTTGTCCCAAAGAGACGAATTGCATAAAGTTCACGAGAACTCATTATCATTTTAATTTTGTATTGCACCAAATCAAATCTGCGATTTCAATTCCATGGGTCTCCTCTTCTGCTATAATTACAGTTACTGCCTGAAAAATCGACGGCCTCACGACAAAACTATGGATTGTTTCGATGGTTTTTTCTAATGACTTTCCAATTCAACTATAATTAAGCTGATGCAGCCCTTATTATAAGCCTCGCGCCCAGCTCCCATCCGGTCAGGAATTTTCACAAACACCGGGGGTGTAATTAGTGCCCAAATTTTTGAACTGTATTCTTAAAACAAAGGTTAAGCAGTTGACCAATTACATCAATGCAGCTACGCATATGGAGATTTAAATTCAAACAAAGCCGAGATCAAACATGCCCAATCTTCTTCCAGTGCCAAATACTCAAAACAACAGCAGACAAACCAGGAAATTACCAATTACCCTCTCAGGGTCATCATCAACCACAAACAACCAAAAAACAAAATAGTGACTAAAATTTACAAACAAATTATAAAGTGCAATGATTAAAGAACTTCACCAAACACATGGACATTATTTTGAGATATTTAGTCATATATCTATTCTTAGCACTAATGATATAGATAAACCCTATACCATTTAGTTTCTATAAACAAGCCCAAAAAATGACAATTGGCCATATTGAATTTAATTTTGATTATTAAATTACTTTGATGCCCTATTGAGTGTTTTGGGTTTATTTTTATGAAATTTTAGGGTCGGGCTTGTTTTAAGAAATCGACGGTAGTTTGTAATTTATAAAAAGTTAAAAGCCTCTTTGTTATGTTGTAAATGAGTTTTAAGTGTGTTTCTAAGGTCCATTACATATAAGAGTTTTTTTTATATATAATTTGGGCCCCTATATTGAGTATAATAGTGAATCCCTCATAATAGTTTTGTTTTGTGTAACACCCCGACTCTATTTAAACGGTTAAAATTAAATTAACTGTGAAATTACGAAACTACCCTTGGGGTAGGGTATTTTGGTCATTTTCTTGTCCGGAAGGATTTTGGGACCACAAGTGGTTTAGTTGTGTAAGTGGTTCTGAGACGAATTCGTAGACAGGCGGTAGGCTTGAATCGGAGTTTTAACGAAGTGATGGCGATGAAATTTCTTTCGGTGGCAAACTCGTAAATAAGTCAAAAAGGTATTTGTAAAATAAAATCAGTTTTTCATTTCAGTTTATTTTCCTCTCTCTCTCTCTCTCTCTCTCTCTCTCGTCACTGTTCACCCGAACAGAATTCTTCACACCGCCACCACTTCCGGCCACCCCAGCCCCCGAGACCGGTTCCATTCGACTCGTAGTGAAGTCCCGGACCTGACCCACCCAAAATCCCGACCGTCAAGCTCGAGAACCGCCGACTGTGGCGACTGGTTCGAATCGGAGGTTTTCCGATCGTTGCACCACCGCTTCAGTCATCCTTTTCCGGTGTGAAAGGTACTCCGACCCAGCATACGCAGCAGGCGGGACCCTCTAAGGGTCAAGCTGTGTGGGATTACTTGTGAGTGGACTTTTCTTTTGAAACTCAGTATGATTTTATTAATATGGCATATCGTTTTATTATATCTAGTAATTATTTTTATATGCTTGAATGGGAATTCGAGGTTTTCATGAAACTTACATTGATATTTGAATTTTGAGAAGCTATGTTTACATGCGGCTATGCATGGGATACTTGGTGGTTAAGGTTAATATGAACTATGGAAAGGTAATGTTGGATCTATTATTTGGAGTGCGTTAAGCACTAATTTATGTACCTCCCCTTATCTGAATTTGGTTATGATGAGAACTCAGGGCATCCTTGAGGGGATGTTGCTGTGGACCCTGGATTTGGGGTAGTCTGCGCGCGTAGGACTGGTATTTCAGGCGTACAAGCTTTGACTATGTCGGCTGTATGTGCTTGCTGAGAGTTAGTCCCCCGGTTGGACGGCTCGTTCCCTAGACACATGGTGAATTGAGGAATGGCTCTGCCATGTGGCCTAGTCAAACAGTCCCCCGGTTGGATTGTTTCCTCGGTACAATTAAATATTGGTTATCTTTATATACTATTATTATTATTATTATTATTATTATTACTATTATCTCATATTATTATTATTATTCTTATGTATGCATATGATATATATTTATTTATATGAATGTTCCTTCGTTCTATTTTTCGGTAAGGATATTTCCTCGCCGGTCGTACTTTTGAGTACGTTTACGAGAGTCTAATCTCTCGGGCCTCTTAAGTTGAATGGTGGGTTTCGTGAAGCATTATTCACGGATTACGGATTTGAGATCCGGTATATATATGTTCGTGTATGTTTATATATCTTTTTCTGATGGTTGTTATGTTTATGGTTTCATTGTATGTTTTTATAAAGGTGGGGGTTATACTACTTTGATTTCTTTTGAACTGAACTTGATTTTTGTCCACTCACAACTTTCTATTTTGCGCCCCCAGCCAGTAGCGACTGAGCTTTGCAGTTGAGCCGGACCGGGTGCATCTTGGAACTCGAGTCTTCGTAAAGACTCTTGGGGCTTTGTTTTTCCTTTCAGTTAAACGGTACTTCGGTTGTATTTTGAATTCCTTAGTTATGCTCTGTATCGCCCACTGAGGGTTTAATTTTGTGAGGCCGGAGGCCTTTGTTGTAAAGTGTTTGTTTGCTTGTAAGCATGCTGCCAGTTGGTTGTAATTAACTGTAAATTTTGAACAAGTTGAAGTTTGGGAATGTTCAATTTACAGGGGAGACTCTGCCAAATTTTTGGTAGAAAGTCTCAATCTTTACTAAGTGGGCCCGGCATTAGGTTGATGTCGGTAATTAGGCGGGGTTCGTCCCGGATTCCGAGGAAATTCGGGGCGGGTCTTGTCATTTTGCGTCATGGCCAAGGAAATCCATCAACAAAGAAAGAAGAAGAGGATAGAAACAAGAGGCTTAAGCTTGCAAGGGATTTTTTTGATCATTTTAAATTATTTGAAGCTATTTAATCCAAATAAACCAATTTATATGGAGATGGTGTGGTAGAAAAATTCCAAAGTCCTTAAAAACAATCCATTCAATATGGTTGTGCTGCCGTGCATATTTCGGATACAAAAAGAACAAACACTACTGACTCTGGTTAGGTTCTAATTAATAAATCAATGTTAGACAGTTCACTACCGAAAGTCCAAGGAGGTATTCGGTGGAGCGACGCCGAATGCCAAGAAGAAATGTTTGGTGTTGTGTGATAGTGTATCAAAGTGTATTAGAGATATTTTTGGTAATTAAATATTATGTACTTAGTTAATTTTATATTTTAATTTAAATAATAAATTGTATTTAGTTAATTTTAAAGTTAGTTTAACAACATCCCAAAAAAAAAAAAAAGTACTACTATTTATCACCTCTTCTTTTCTTTCTCTCCTTAAATCTAGTTTAAACAAAACTCAAATCCCTGTTTTTTATTCCGAAATTTCCTCCTTTTTGTTTTTATCTGTCGTTGGGAGGTTCCATAATTTCCTTCTTAAGCAGTACTCTTTTGTAGGAAAATATCATTCAGTTGTCGTTTATATGAACTCAAATAATCCTTTTTTTGTTTGATCAGAATCAGATAGGGGGGAAAACTTTTTGGAAAGAAACATCATTAGAGCAGAAGGTACTCGGTAACGAGCAATATTTATAAAATAGTTTTTTTTTTCTTTGTTTTTTTCTGCAAGTGATGTTAGGATAGGGGAAATTGAACGTGTAATTTTGAATATAGAGGGAAGTGTTTTTAACCACTTGAACTACAAACTCATTGCATATTAATCTAAGTTTTTTGTCTGCAGCAAAAATTCTTGATTCGTAATTTTAATCGAAGTGAAGTTTGGTAGACATGGGATTAGTCAAGTTGGCCAAAAAGGATATGTTTTTCACTCTGCATCCGAGTTCAAATATCTATCTCCATACTTTATATTAAATTAAAGTAAAGTATCATCTATATAAATCAGTGTTTTCAAAGGCATGCCTAAGCGCGGGTCGGAGGGGAGCGAGGCGGAAGGAAATCGCCTGAAGCGTTCATCTATTTAGCAGGTTGCACGTTTAGCGCCGCGAGGCGTGGAGAGGCGTGGCGAAACGTGGCAACGTGTGGCGAGGCGGACGAAGAGCCGCTGTTCTGCAAGCAGCTGCGAAAGGAAGAAGATGACCAAGCGTGTTTTTTAAGGGTTCGTTGGCAATGAAACGACTTCGTTTCATATAGTTAATAAAACGCACGTTTAGCACTGAGGTTACTTAAAGAAATTGACGTTCAGCATGCCTTTTTTTATTATTTTTAAATCATGATTTTTTGTTTTTAACAACCAACATGCTTAACACCTCCACCGAAACACCACTAACCCTTTTTCATTGAAACACCACTACTTACCCTTTTTTTCTTTTTTTTTTCTTCCTAAATTAATATATTAACGTGGATATATATATATATATATATTTATTTATAGTATAACCCTAATATATAAACTGAATTGTGTTTTTGTTTTGATGTTGAATAAATATTTTAGATTTAGGGATTGATTATTATGCATGAATGAGACCATTAGTACTTATATTTGATTATACTTAATACATTATATCAGGGTTCAATAATAATTAGTAGTATAATTTAATTGTGTATTAGAATAAATTAATGTTCAAAAGGCTTACACCTCAACGCTTCAAGGCTTCCGCCTCGCATAACGCAGATAAAAACGCTTTGTATCTACGCCTCGCCTTTCAAAACATTGATATAAATAAAGGCAAAGAGACTTTGACAGCCAGTATATAGTAATCTTAAAAAATCCAAGGATTGTAGAAAGAGGAGATTGAAATCCTACATTTTTCCTGAATATCATGGGTTATATCAATCTAATGATTTCGATATCTGACAACATTTCCTTCTAAAATTGCACACGGAATAGGAATTGCAGTCTACTACTTCGAAAGGTTCTGATTGACAAGCATGCGTTTGTTTTAAAACTTTTCATGGGCCAACGCAAGGATCTGCTTGGTATGTTTGTAAGTTACGAATTTGAGCTATATCGCACCGGGCCGGCCTTGTTTGCAAAAATGCATCATAACAACATCCCTTGACGTTGAGATCAACTATCAAATCATTTGGAAATAAAGAAGAAGAAAGAACCCTGAGATCAACTCTCAGATCATAAATTGAAGAAGATCAAATTATCCAGTTCTCAATTGAAGCTTCAAAGAAAAGAGACACACAATTGCATATACACCACTATGAACCTTAACGGTGGGTCTCTATGTGTAGCGTTGCTGTCCCGTGTGGTGGGTGTGTATTCACTCTTTTGTGGCTTTGATGGTGCGGTCTCCGTCTCTTTGGTGGTGACAATGGCTTTGTGTTGTATTTTGTTTTGATTTTGTGACAGAGAAGATTGTTATACTGTGCTGGTTTTAGTCTAATCTTCTCTGTGCTTGTATTCTCTGTTTGTTTCTTTCATATTTTTGGGATTTTAATGAACTCGGATTGATTATAAAAATAAAAACATGTTCTTAAAGCCAAAAATGGCTTCCACCATGAACGAGCTAATCATACCTAGAAAAATGTACATTCCAGCTAACGATATAATCTTGGTAATCCAAACTGAAATCCAAAAGCCTCACCTTTGTCGCAGTCGGAGCAATGCTGGACAAAACCACGTCAGAGATTCTATATACCTCTAATCTTTCTATATCCAATCCTTCGAGTGCAGTTTATTTGGCCCAAAAACCTTAGTAAAAAATTCAGGTTCTTTCCACATCACAGTCTCAATATCGATCGTTTTATTATTGTCCAGCATCATTTGTAGCTCAGGAACCCAACCTTCTTTCTTCACAATTTCTTGTTTCATCAGATTTTTAAGCACATTGATTTTGCGATTTCTCATTGCTTTTCCTTTATAATCAATGTCGTATTTATCAAAATACTCGTTCATATGACCTGTACTGTTCTAATTTTAACGTGTCATGTGTGATTATTTTACCCCCTCTTTCCTAAATTGAAATGGTTTAACTGCCAATGTGCCGGTATGAGTTTAATTATGCTGAAGCTATTGTTTCAGCTCATAAGAGAGTGTGCCACACAGCAATCGATACAAGGTTTGTAAAATGTCTTCTTGACATGTTATATGTAGAGGGTGATGGGTATATTTTATATCATATATTTAACCCTATTTTTAGTATATTTTGGTTAATATTTTGAAAGAATTTTGACACTTAGCATTATATTTTCAATATAGGACTTTCGTCTTACTCTGGAGAAAAACATAATCAAATGGACGAATTTTGGAGTAATTCCAGTTGGAGGACGTTTGCGAGTCACTTAGCTTGATCATATCAAAATTTTAGATTTTTCTACCAAACGGTTATTTTCTGGCAATAAAATAAAGGAGCAGTGCGCGGTGCTGGAATAGTGACGTTTTGGACTTTTATTTCATTTTGGAGCCCAAAATGGCCTCGAATGGATTCGTGGCCTTCTAGAGAATTGTTCAAAATGTTTTTATCTTTAAAACAAGCTATCTTGGGCCGGATTTGGAGGAGATTCGAGGCAAAAACGTGGTTGGACAGAAGAAGTCTCTATGCTGTTGTTTCTAATGGCAATTTGGGAGCCATGACATGGAAGACGGATGACACTTTCGTCATGGCTAGCGTATCAAGTCTAAGAAAGGTCATCATTAATGGCCACTTTGGGATTTGGCACACTTTGATTTTGACAGAGAACTTGAACAACATGTAAGATTTGAATTTTTTTTTTTGGAAATTTTAATTAAGAATTTGTAGGATTTTAACCTCATTTTATTTCTAGGGTTTTGTGAAATCCGAATGTGCTGAGTACAAACACAAGTTCGGTCACTTCGGACGTGACCGTCCAGATTTGTTGGCCAACATTGTTCGAGAATCAAAGATAGAGGCTCTACAAGCAAAGGTGTTTGATATTGAGAGTAAAATAACTCACATTGATGGATTTTCAGACAAATTGGATGGTATGCTAAGGAGCTTCCATGATAAATGATACGCTATGTATCGTAAGGCCGAGACTCGCAGAGCATCCAGCCGTGTCATTGGCTTAGTCCAACGCGCCGACACCGATGCGGGTGTCGAGCAATTTTCCAGCGATCAAAAAACTCCAAACCGCCGGCCAATAATCATACCTACAGATCAAGCACATCAAGGGGAGTAACTTTATACCTTGGCTCGAAGATCAATTCCACCGTTAAAGCCCTCGAACGAACGATTTTGTCTTTGAAAAACCTAGAAAGTTTTGGGCCGTATTTTTGGTTTTGATGTTATCGTTGCTAGTATAGGAAAGAGAAGCTTTGAAAGAAGAAGGGGAGAGAAATAAGAGGGAAGGTATTCTATTGTTCTGTTCTTGTGCATTTGATTTGTTACTGATTTTCTCTTTTATTGGCACCTGTGATTTTGTCTGTATTAAAATCATGGGTTGCATGAAAGCAAGACAACTGTGGGGGGCTTTAGTTAATTAATTGTAACATATGCTACATATTTGGAACCATTGCAAATTAACAAGACATTAGTTTTGGGGTGATTCAATCAGGAACCAATTAATCTTTCAAAAGAAAAACAAAACTGAGAAGTGGGTTTTAGTCATAATGGAACCTTGGAATTTACATATATTGAAAGCAGAGTAGTCGTAGCTAGGCATCATTGTTTTACATATGCACTTAAAATTTACTTAAGTAATTTTGTCATCATTGTTTTAATTACTAGCTAGTTTGAAATTTTGGTTTGCAGTTTAGGTCATCAGGGGATTCTATTGTCCATGTAGTGGTTGATGCCAAGTAACTCGTGCGTATATTACATATTGGCTCTGTGGATGTGCTTAAAATAGGTACGTAGTGCACTGCCCGTGGCTCTTCTTGTTTTGTTCAATAAGACTTGATATTTGCAGCTGTTGAACTGGATCCTTAATGTTTTGAGAGCGTTTTTGTAGTTTTATCAATATAATCTCATCCCTAGTTGTCAAATGTTTTATAAGCAGTATGCAATTTTGAGACCATCTGTAAGGTTTGAGTATAAGAGAGTGAGGCAGTTGTCTTGTCTCTTCCACTTTTAGTGGATAGACAATTGCCTAATTGAAATTAACTGAAAACATTGTTCTAAAACAATTTCTTTCAAATTTTATATTTGGATATGTTGGTAGTTTTAAGAAGCAGAAGATGTCTAATTCTCCTTAATCCAACTCCTCCTCAATTTAATTTATTATTTTAATTCAATTCCTCATAATCCAATTACGGATTAGTAAACATGCCATAAGTTTCAAAAAATTACAGTTTTGGAAGAAAATCAATTTGGACTGCCACTTTGAGTGGCGACTCGGGAATACTACACCCATAAGAGAAAGGGGATTACAACATTTCCAGTGAAGTATCTCAACATCCACAAATTTCTTCATCACACTCACACAGGACTCTTGGAACGTTCCACCTATGTTATATGAAATTATAATCACCCTGGATAATACATTTGACCAAATACAATCAATAATACCTCACCCGATTTCTGAAGTTCTTAAGCTCCTCTTCCTTTTCGTATAACATGCATTTCAAACTAGCATATCCATCTTAGGGTCACCATCAACCAAGAACATATTTCAAAGAGTGTTGCTAAACGAACCCTAAAATTAACTGAGTACACCCTACTACAAAAGTATATATTGAATTACTGATTTACCCTAATATAGAATAACCAAAAAGGATATATGAAATTGTGAAACAAATATAATTTTAATAAGTACACCCTACTAACCATATTCAACCCTAATCAAGAGATTACTTGGTTCCCATATTTGTGATTTGAGAGTGCAGCCAGGGACAGCGAAAGAAAGAGGCTGAAGTTGATTTCTGGCAATAGACTTTGGCCAGCAAAACAAAGCCACCGCTTCGAGGTAAGAGAATCTTAACTCATTACTAGCAAACAAAAAAAAGATTAATATTTCTCAAAATCGATCCTTTCGTCTCTCTCTTTCTATGTTCATAGTGGATACCAAAAGTACACCATAGAACACTAGCTTTGGGGGAAAAAGTCTTGTTATTCGTGCACGTCCACCTCAATGTAGGGCTTAGAACAAGCCATTAGAAAACAGTTTTGGAAGGACACAAATGAATTGGCCTCTTATTAGTACATTGCAGAGATATTATTCCAGTTTTATGTAGCATATATCAAAATAAAAGCAACATTAATAGGATCATCAGCAAAGATAATACTAACATGAATCATCTCTGTGGCTTCTGCAATACATTGCTATCTTGCACGTAGTTCATTGACAAAGCCTTTTCCAACTACGAATAGTCCATCTAGAGAGGTTGGGAAAGTTGAGAACAAATAAATTTCACAGTAGCATAGTAGTATATAATTGAAACATGCATAAAAAATCACTATTAACGAAAGAGGTGGTGATTGCAAGAACTTGGAATTGCAAAAAAAGTGTCAACAGTTTTAGTAGAAGCATAAATCCATATGAAAAGTCAAAGATTTATAAACACTATTAAAAAAATCAAGCTGAAAATCAACTATAAAATAATGCTACAAGTATTAAGGTGTACCAGAGGTATTTTTGGTAGTTCTATAGGGTGTACTTAGTTAATTTTTCATTTTAATTAAAATATTATGGTGCACTTAGATCATAGGGTGTACTCAATTAATTTTAGGGTTCATTTAGCAGTACTCATTTCAAATTTGAAGAACCCACCTTCACTGAAATACTTCGGTATTTATTTAAGACAAGTGAGGGAATATATGTTCAAAAGTTCAATGTAAAACTGCTTTAATTCAGACTAATGGTAATGAATGATGATGCTTTCTTGTTTAGTTTTCGACCAACAATTGGTCATCTCGACTCTTTCACTTTCCATCCAAAGAAAAAGATTCTTGATTGGGCCAATCCTTTTTTGAAATGGACTGGATTGGTCTTAAACAGCAAGACTAGTACGAAGACTCGACTTGTCCAAAAAAAACAAGAAGATAAAGAACAAAGACTCGACTTGTAAAAAAAAACAAGAAGAGAAAGAACAAAGACTCAACTTGTACAAAAAAACAAGAAGAGAAAGAACAAAGACTTTGAAAAATCCTCGTATGTTAAAGAAAAGGAAATTAGCAAAATACAAGTTTTATAGCCCATGCGGCACGCAATAGTCATCATCAATCATTGTCTTCGTACACAACCAAGATATACTTATGTATGGAGAGAAATTATTGGCTATACTTTCATGCACAAAGATAAATTATATTAGTCTTTTTATCAGAAATGGTTCTTCACGTTTACGAAATTATCACGAATGGTCCTTGAGGGTTTTTTGTGACACTAATAGTCGTTAACGTTTGGACTTTTTATCACAAATTGTCCTTACCATCAGAAATTCTGTTAAGTGTATGAGGTGGAAGATAAGTGGAACCCATATGTCTAATCACATCGTGACATGTGGATTAAATAAATAAAGAAATATTTTTTTATAATGAAAATCCAATAAAAAAACCATTTAGCCTCTCTCTCTCTCTCTCTCTCTCTCTCTCTCCTCTCTCTCTCTCTCTCTCTCTCTCTCTCTCTCTCTCTACCCCCGTCTTTCTAAATTTCTTTTCCTCTGCCCTCTCTCTTCCTTGTGCTTTCCCTCTCCCTTTGTTCTTTTGTTGCCTCTAGAAACCAACCACCCCATGCCCACTAGCAACCCACCCCTCTCCCTATGTATATTTTGCAAAATGATCACTTCCTTTTGCACAAACATTTATTCAAACAACTTAAAATAATAAAAAACAGAGGAGGATATAAAAAACAAAGGGAGAGGGTAAGGCTGGGCATTTAGACCCGAAACCCGGCCAAACCACACAAACCAAACCAATGGGCTGGGTTGGTTTGGTTTTTTTTCATTTTTTTTTGGTCATCGGTTTGAACCCAAACTAAACAAAATATATGGTTCGGTGTACTGTTTGCAATATTTAAAACTACGGTTTAACCAAACCAAACCGAAGATATTAAAAAATATCGTATAATAAGAAATATATATAGATATATAATACATAATTTCAATCTTTTCTTTTTCTTCTCTCTCAATCTCTCTGTTTGTCTTGTCTTCATCAGTCCCTCTCTCTATATTTTTTTTTCTTCTCATTCTTCTTATATCTGTCTTCACTCCCTCTCTCCGTCTCCCTTTTCTTCTTCTTCTCCATCTCTCCCTCTTTTTTTTTCTTCTTCTCCTCTCCATCGCTTTTATTTCTTCTCTCTCTCTCTCTCTCTCTCTCTCTCTCTCTAAGAGCCAAAAAACCGAAACCGAACCAAACCAAACCATCAAGTCCGGTTAACCGAAGTGATCAGTTTTCATCAATTATGGTTTGGTTTCGGTTTTCAAAATAGCCAAACCGAAACCTACGGTTCGGTGTTGGGTTGAGCTCAAAACCGAACCAACCCAAACCAAACCCAGACCTAGAGTTGGGCATGGGTTGCGGGTTGCGAGAAGAGATGGAGAGCAACTGCATATCCTATAATTTTTCTTGCAGGTGGCAGAGGGAAAGAAAAAAAAACAGAGGGAGAAGAGATAGAGAGCAAGGGCAGAGGAGGAGAGAGACGGAGTAAGGAAGAGGGGACGAAAAATTGCAGAAAAAAAGGAATTTTCACTAAAAAGTTATTTAATTTTTTTTTATCCACATGTCATAATGTGATTGGACATGTAGGCTCCACTTATCTTCCACATCACACTTAACATAATTTATAACGGCAGGGACCATTTGTGATAAAAGCTCAAACGTTAAGGACTATTAGTGTCACAAAAAAACCTCAATGACCATTCGTGATAATTTCGTAAATGTGAAGGACCATTTGTGATTAAAAAAAAACCATTATATAATATAGTACTGTATTACAGTCACATGGTATAACTTGTGCATGTAAATATAGAAAGTAAATCCTTTTTATTATTAGAATGATATGTAAACTAAACTCGTCTTGCACTATGAGAGTAAATGTTGCGTATATTAAGTATAAATATTGTAATATTACTGATGATTTAAAGAGTAATTCTTGTGTATTATATTATCCGCGATCCTATTTAAACGTATCCCACATTTAAGAGTATATCTTGTGTATCATTTGCGAACTTGTGTTACACTCTAAAACGTTGGCCTATATACTGGCTCATTCTAATCGTCTCATCATCGTCGTCTTGATATTTTTTCAAGTCAATGCATATATGTGAGTCTCCCACCATCTTATGTTACTGTCGTCACTCTTTTTTTATTATTTTTTATTAAAGACAAATAAATGCCATAATATCTAGTGGCCTAAAATAGTCCCTTGCAAGTGGCATATAGAAACAACCATAAATTCCTTTTTCCCCCAAAGAAAAAGGACAGCGCAAGTACACCACCCACGTAAACTCTCCCCTCTATTGGCCAAGTTCTGGTCTATAAAACGAAGCCTCAGTTGCCCTCTTAAGATATCACAACTCAACCCGTGAAAAGTTCTGTACCTTTTCTAACTTTATCGCTAGCCCTCCTCCCTCCATGGATCACTTTTCTTTGTTCAATACTTATTTTCTTGTTTTCATTTCTCCTCTATTCATGGCGCAATATAGATCTTCTTCTGTAAGTATACGTTGCAGCCAAACCCCATACCCTCAAGTGTGCAACCATTTCATCAACACCAACCTCTTATCAACCCTAGATGATCATGAACAAAGGTTTACATTTCGTGACTTTACACTTAAAGTCACCATGGACCAAGCCATTGGAGCCCATCAACTCGTCTCATCCTTGAGCTTGAACTCATTGAAAGATGAGAGAGCCAAGTTGGCTTGGAATGATTGTTTGGAGCTCCATGAGGACACCGTCGACAAGATCAATTGTTCTATTCGCTCCAACAACGCCCTAGACGCCAATACATGGTTAAGTGCATCGATTGCTAATCAACAAACTTGCCAAAATGGTTTCACCAATCTCAAAATTCCTAATTCTTATTTACAATCATTTCCAAATTATGTCACGCTAACAAGCAACCTGTCCAAGCTGCTTAGCAATTCACTGTCGCTACACAAGGCCTCAACTTCACCGTCGGCTTTGCATTTCAGCAAACAGGTTCGTGGGAAACGACACTTATTGCTCTCGGAATCAGATGATGGATTCCCGGAATGGGTTTCGTTTCCTGATCGAAAGCTTCTGCAATCGACTGGGGGTGGGGCAAAAGCTGATATGGTAGTAGCCCAAGATGGGTCCGGAAACTACAAGACAATTTCTGAGGCTGTGGCTAACCTACGCAGTGGGTCCACTGAAAGATTTGTTATACACGTCAAAGCTGGGGTTTACAAAGAGAACGTTGAGATTAAGAAGACAATGAAGAACATCATGTTCATTGGTGATGGGATTGATGCAACCATTGTTACCGGGAACAGAAATAGCCAAGATGGTTCAACCACATATAGCTCTGCCACTTTTGGTACGTTTGTTTTGAAGCACTAACAACTTAAATCAACTTATAATTAACCCCATGATGTTAATTAAGTTTAGAGCTTTATGTGTATGCTAGGTGCAATCCCTATTTATATATAGATACTAATAGATGCTAGACCAACTTTAATTAGGTCATGTTCGATTGATAAGGCAATCAACATTTTCTTTTGAAATGAATCATTACTAACTAATTGACAAAATTAATAGCATAAGATGACATGTGCATAAATTGGAACATAACTTTTTATTTGTTGATCGCATGACCTTTTAACTGAGTTTTTCTCTCCTAACATTTGCATCCAATGATTCACAAAATTAATAAATATATATTTTTTGACTTAAATTAAACCCAGGGGTTCAGGGGGAAGGCTTCATTGCTCAGGGCATGACATTTGAGAACACAGCAGGACCGCAGAAACACCAAGCCGTGGCACTGCGCTCCGGCGCGGATCACTCAGTGTTCTACCGTTGCAGCTTCAAAGGCTACCAAGACACTTTATACGTATACGCCCAACGCCAATTCTACCGTGAGTGCGACGTATACGGCACCGTAGACTTCATCTGCGGCGACGCCGCGGCCGTGCTCCAAAACTGCAACATTTACGTGAGAAAACCAATGAGCAACCAAGTAAACACCGTCACAGCACAGTCGAGGACCGATGCCAATGAGAACACAGGCATTGTTATCCATAGCTCGCGTGTCACAGCTGCTCCAGACTTGAGAGCTGTGCAAGGCTCGTTTAGAACCTATTTGGGCAGGCCATGGAAAAAGTACTCGAGGACGGTGATCATGAAGAGTGATTTAGATGGGTTGATTGACCCGGCTGGTTGGTTCCCATGGAACGGAAACTTCGCCCTCTCTACACTTTATTATGGTGAGTACATGAACTCTGGGGCTGGTGCTGCCACTGGAGGGAGGGTCAAGTGGCCAGGCTATCGTGTCATAACGAGTGCGGTGGAGGCCGGGAAGTTTACAGTTGGGAACATATTGGCAGGAGAATCTTGGATTCCGGCCACCGGAGTGCCATTTTCAGCTGGTCTGTGATAATTGTGATGTGGATGGATATGTATACATCATGCATGCATGTGGTGAGAGGTTGTTTGACTTTTAAAAGTAGAGGAGGGAGAGGGGGGCTTGTCACTTGTGTAGGTGGGATAAGGACTTAAAGTTGTATACTTGTAACGTAGTAGCATCATGTGTTAGCTACCTTTTGGAAGATGATATCTACGGAGATATTTGTTTTCTTGCCTTCTTTTCCCCTTTTTCCTTATCCCTCCAATCCGATGAATGCCACAGACGTAGGACAAATGTATCATTGGACGCACAAGTAGTTGCAAATATCATTTGATGCTTTATTAAAAAAAGGAAAAGTTTTTAGATGCATTATCTAAGAGAAGAGATGAGAGTAACGTAGCAGCATATGCAAAGACCACCTCACATGGGAGAAATTTTTATAGGTACCCGGTACACTAGTTGGTTGGTGTACTCACCAATAGAAATAAGACACGTATAATAATTTATTTTTAGCCTTAAAATTGCAGTAATTTTTAACTCTGTTAGCTTTTTAACTCCATCAGCTTTTTAACTCTGTCAGCCTTTTGCTGCAATCGAGAATCTTTTAATTTTTTATTTACCAATTTTTCAAACAAAACCCTAAAGATACAACTTTACTCTGACAATAACCCTTTTGCCGTCAAATACACAAGCTTGCTGTACGTGTTCAGCCACTCAATCCATGGACAAAGAAAAAGGTGATGACCTGCACCTACTCCCACATGCCTTTACTTTTTAAGTTTTCAGGACTGTTTCTTCTTTTTTTTTGGTCTGAAAATACTTTGTTGGAAAGCCCGAAAAGGCAAAGGCAACAACAAACAGAAAACAGGGGAGGTTCGCAGAGCAATACAAGTAAATCACAAGGAGGCCATTGATACCTCCTAGGAGAGAAAAGGAAATACAACAAGTAAACTACCTTATAACAGAAAGTTAACTACCAGGGCATGAGTTTTGGTTTCACTGGATTAATTTGTTATTTTATTTTTTATTTTGGTTTCATTGGATTATTAAATTGTGGTTTGAGTTACTTTTGAGTCATCATGTAGTATACATATATATATATATATATATATATTTTTATGTTGGCTTTGCTCCAGGTTACTTTTGAGTTACTGTTTCATGAGTGTTGGCTCATTGGATTATTATATTGGCTTTGCTCCAGGTTCTTTGAACATTGGGGGTTGCCTCCCCAAACATCATATGCATTGGCTTTGCTCCAGCATCGGTTTTTAAATTTTTTGCTCTTTTTTTTTCTTTTTGGTACAAGTGTTTCTTTACATTTTAAATTACAATTACAACATATTTGTACAGTGGTTTGTGCAGCTTTGTTTGGATAAATATTTTCTTTCTTTTTACTGCTTTCTATAGTTATTATCATTAATATGTTATATTACCTTCTAATCTACTCAATTTATTGATTTTTTAAAATTTATTTTTGTGTTATATGCTACGAAAATTATTTCTTCCTATAGTTATTCATTATCATCTCACAAAAATTATTTCTTTCGTTGAATGATGTAGTTATTGATCTCGGAAGTGATGAAGAAAACACCAAAAGCAACGATCAAGAAAAAAATCCAACATTTGGGAATCTTGAAGAATCTTTCGATGAAAATTTGTATGGGAAGATTGTGTACAACGAGCAAGAAGCTTATGATCTTCAAGGGAGAGGATTTTTTGTTATCCTATGTCATTAGAACTTTGAAATGGTGTATCAGATCATGTGAGACTTGTGTTTATTTTATTTTATGTGTGAGACTATGTGAGAGTTGAAAATGATTGTATTTCATTTTGTTTGGAGGATACAAAAGTTTCTCAACTAAATTTTCAATGAAAGATCTGTAAGATTATATTATAATTCCAGATATTATTATATGTCAAGTGTGTTTGTTTTTTATAGATGAGGCTAGACACTCGAAATTGTATGAATCACAAGAATTTTCAATGAAAATTCTATTAGTGTTTACATTACAAATATGATGAGTGCTCTCTACATTACAAATACTTTGCTGGAAGCAGCAACTAAAATTAAGCCTGGTGAATAAGAGAATTAATAGGTTTATATATTTGGATGTCAATGTTTCCAATCCAAAGATACAAAGCAAACAAGATAAAACAACTGCATTTCAGCTTGAAGCTTAAAGAGAGCAGAAGTGTAAGTTTGATCAATGCTCAAACCCAAAATATCGGTGAATTACAGTTACAAAGAGTCTTTTCACACAAGATATCACGATTCAAGCTATTTGGCAAAATGTTAGATCTCAGAACCTGCAGATGATTTGACAGGCAAAGTTAAATCAAAATGTAGCTTACAAAATATTTACCACCATGTAACCATACTGAACACTAGAAAGCCTAAACCATATTCAGTCAGCCAACTTGACACCCCAAGAAAGGAAACTTACCTGTGACCCGAATTCCTACAAAACCGAATGAAGAAATGCATTGCCTTAAGAAAATGCAAAGAGGAAAAATTGACTAAAAGAATAAGAAGCAAAATTGACTAAAAAGGCATGCAGAGCTTCAATGGCTGCAGCTCTGCTCAAATCAACAAGAGCAAACCCATTCTCCTTTGAATCCGAAAGGGTAGACCCAACAATTTGTTTCACCTTCCTCTGAAACCAAATCAACATAACAAGTACAGAAAATCAAAAAAATACAGAAACACAACTGGACTAAATACACACACATATAAGAAGATGAGAAGACCAATAACCATACCAATATTGGAGCAAACCCCTAAGAATCCAAAACCAGTGCTCTCTCCAATCCCAAACCCAACATTTCCAAGCACACCCAAAACCCCATCAACTCCTCACCCAACCCTCACTCTCTCCCCAACTTCTAACCACACCCACGTCCTCAACTTCCTCAAAACCCATATAAAAAAACCCACCATTTTGACCCCAATCTTCCTCAATTCTCTCTTTTGTTCAGATTGTGCTTTGGATTTTAATAATGGGGAGTTTGATAAATTTGGAGAACTAAAAGAGAATTGCAAAATGGGTCGAGACATATTATACATGTTGGAGAGACAGAGTTAAATTGGCTTTCTGCAGAAAACCAAACCATGTTGTGCCCATAGATTCTGTAGAAAACCAAATCAATAGATGATTTGTGCTCCTGTTGGAGAGACATATGCAGAAAACCAATTTCGACCCATATGCAGAAAATGATTTGTACAATTTCGACCCATATGCAGCGAAAGCCTAATGGAAAGACAGAGTTAAGATGCTGACAGAGTTAAAAAGCTAACGGAGTTAAAAGTTACTGCAATTTTAAGGGTAAAAATAAATTATTACACGTGTCTTATTTCTATTGGTGGGTACACCAACCAGTTGGTGTACTGGGTACCTACAAAAATTTCTCCTCAAGAGGACCAATTTGATGCGTCACAGGTGGGAGTACAAGTAGTGCTTGTAGCAGCCACTACTGGAGTGCCACATGTCCCAAAAACGAAGCTATAATGAAGAAACAAATCTCTCTCTCTCTCTCTCTCTCTCTCTTTGTGCATTAAGATGAAAGATGGAGGTGAAATCAAAATGATAATATTAATTGTGGAGATAAGACAGTGATTAGCGTGATTCTATACAAAAAGAGGGCCTCTAATTTGGAGGCTCCCTTTTCCTTCATGGGCAAAAAAAAAACTTTCTTGTAAAGGAGATAGCACTGTTTTGTTATCTTCGGCCGATAATACAATGACACGTGAAAAAATTAACCCACATGTCATTTCGTTATTGGTCAAAATAGCAAAAGGTGATATCTCTATTACATGAGATTGTTCTCCTTCAGAAGGTGTGAACCCCTTAATCAACAGTGATGTGTTACTTTCTGAAAAACAGTTTTAGATAAATGTCTTCATATCTCCACACTGAGGTTATGTGTTTCAATATTCCCCCTGATAGCCAACGGAATTTAACCTAGTGAAAAAGGACCTTACTTGCAGATTAAACTATCGCTTGTAACAAAAGTAAAAGAAAGAGAACAGAAACCCGTATGCATCGGATCAGCAAACAACGATTGGGTATAATTATTATGAACGATAACAATGGTTGAAATTATAAAATTTGTGCCGACCATTATAAGCTAAATAAGCTCTAAACCACAAAGTAAATTACAAATTGGTCGAAGAAGTTCACGAGAATTGGATATGAACGCAGAGTATAATTTAAAATTCACATTTATTTTGAAAAGTCAAAAATTATATCAGCGAGTAGTTTTACTTGTCAACAACACTCTCATTTCCCGGCAGCCTTGCTGCCGTCTTACTTCCGTAGTCATAAGCAGACCATCAAATTACAAAAAAAGGGTTCTTATTACTAACACATTTGAAGAAACCAAGCCAGTCCTTTTTCATATTCAAAACGAAGCACCATGTTACTTTTTAAAAAAAAATTTAGAGATGTGCATCTATGTAATAACAGTAGGGGCAGATCGACCAGTGAATTCTTGCATCTTGGAAAGCTTAAGAGCAACCTCCACCTGTATAAATAGTGAATCAGAACCAGCCCAAAAAAATTGGCCACAAAGTTTGATTATAAACTTTAAAGATGAAGATTTAACTCACAAGAGGACCAAGTGCTTCTTGAGATTCTCTGCCAATTTTTGAAGGATCCTTCTCGTACTGCTCAATGTATAGTCGGATTGTGGCACCTTCTGAGCCAGTGCCTGAGAGGCGGAAAACCTGCAATTGTGTTCAAGGAGTGTGGAAGAATGAATAGCTCGAGTTAGCTCCAGGAAGAGTATTCTCTAGAAATATAAAAAGAATTTTGCCACATAGGAAGCGTGGAGAGAAAAATTCTTCAGACGAAAAAGTGAAACCGACTGAAACGCATAATTTAATGTAAAACGTTAATCACTCCAAGGGAAAATATATATATATATATATATGTTATTGAAAATCTAAGCCTTGTTTGTGGAAATCTAGCATCTTCGAACACCAAATATAAAACACTTCCAACACTTTTCACAACAGGTTACATCATTTTAACCGCTGTATTCCTCTTCTACCATTGTCACATATAATCAATAATTCCATGGCTAAGCTATTAACAAAAGCTGTGTCAACTTACCAATCGTGATCCATCCTCAAACAAGTACCGAATGCCCTGGTGTTTTGAGATGGAGCCATCAACAGGATCCTTGTATTCAAATTCATCAGCGTCGACAACACTGGAGACATCTGAACGTATGCCCTTCACAATCCTGTATGTCAAAAAGAAAGAAGATAACAGATCAAAGCATGAATTCAAATGAAGTGAAAGGCAATTCATGGTCTTAGAAAAATATGTCAAAAAGAAATAAAGTCTGGGAAATGACAAAAAGAAATAAAACAGAAGAATTTACATATCTAATACAGGAATATATCTCTAAGGCAGCGTAAGAAACATACTGATTGACTTCAGAAAGGGAAGATTGCAATTTCACCAAAGATGCCATCAGTTCCTTTGCTGCACCTGCATCCACATTCTTCAAGGAAAAATATATAATAATTAATAGCAATACAAGATTATATAGTTGAACGCAGGAAAGAACACCTTAAAATCTTAATGAACCTCATAGTCATATCGAGTATAATAATGGCGACCAAAGGTAGCCCAATGCTGACGAACTATGTCTTCTACACTGACAAGCTTCTCCCCACCAAGATTTTCCTTATTTTTATAAGCAAGTATAGATAACCAAGCTAAAACTGCCCAGATACCATCTTTCTCGCGTATATGATCCGAACCTGTCCAAGGATGCAAAACATTGACATTGCCACCAACATTGTATAAATTTATAATAATTCAAACGTTGATTGAACTACTTTAGAAGGCACTTCCTGAAAACTGACCTGTTCCAAAACTTTCTTCCCCACAAACTGAACATAACCCAGCATCCATCAGATTACCAAAAAATTTCCAGCCAGTGGGCACCTAGAGTATATAGTAGATACTGAAAAGGTTAATGGTCTATTCACCCAGAAGCATAGGGTTGTGTGTGTGTGTGTGTGTGTGTGTGTGTGAGAGAGAGAGAGAGAGAGAGAGAGAGAGTACCTCAAAAAATTTCAAATTTAAATGTTTGGCTACAACATCAAGGGCAGCAGATGTAGGCATGCTCCTACAAGTGGACAAGTCAAAAGATGATAATCAAGAACAGTTAGGCATGAAAATATATAACCAAAATACGTACCTTCAAAAACATAAATAAATTATTCAAACGCCAAAAATATGTTGCCAAGTTGTGAAATCCACAAATAGTCTATGAAAAGGGAAAAAAAAACACTTCAAACAAATTTATGTAGCTCTAGAGTGAAATAGACTGAATGCTAAGAAGATCAATAAACTACCTGGCAACTCCCTTCAGACCAGCAGAGAAGTAAGGTATGGCTTCAACTGCATTTGCAGCAATGATGGCTACAGAATCCGATGGGGTAACAAAAAACCTAAGAAAATAAGATAAAGTTATGAATGCAAGTGAAGGACAAGATTAGAATTACGCTCACAAGGCTGATGCTACCTTTTACCGAGGATCATGTTACGATCTGCATCACCATCAGCAGCAGCACCAAATTCTGGGGGCTCATCTTGAGTAGTTGATTTACCCAATCCCATTCGTGCAACCAACTCCTTTGCATAGGTCAGATTAGGATCTGGATGCCCTCCTCCAAAGTCTTCCTGTTTGCATGAATTACAAGCAAAACAGGGTGAACCATATGGATACATTAATTTTAGACTGGATAGTGAGCGAAGAAAAGTTGTCTCAAACATAAAAAAAAACCTTGGGTACGCAGTTTAATAATGAGCTTTCTTTTGCACCAAGCTCTTCCACAAAAATACGTTCTGCATAAGCTCCAGCAACTCCATGTAGTGCGTCATAACTTTAACATGACAACAGAGACAGGTCACACCACCAGTGGTAAGAACTGTTGCAATACAGAAAATGAAAATAAGGAGCCATCTACATACCAGAATGTGAATTTTGGAGATGATAGCAGCTTCCGGATAAACTCAAAATCAAAGATTGACCTGGAAAACGAGAATTACTTGAGACAAAGGAATAGTGTCCTGACGTTAAGCTAAACATATGGTATTGATCACAACAATGTGACCAAATTCATACAGGCAGAAGATTCTTCTTAGAGGTAAGCTTACTTCATCAACTTCACATAATCACTCGCTGAATCAAAAACATCAACATCAAAAGTTCCTCCATCCACTGAAAAGGTGGTTACACCTACTTTAGCGATATCCACCTGTCACATACATTGAAAGATCATTACAATAAATGGAACTCAAAGTGCAGTAGTTTTGTAATAAGATTTTAAGTAAATAAAGAAATGGAGCTTAGATTTGATGGAGTACATCAGGTAGCTCGACTGTCAAATACTCCTTTATTTTTGTTGTGTTCTCATATATTTTGTCAGTGATCGACTCTGGAGCAGGTCCACCATTTTCCATGTTGTATTTAATCCCAAAATCCTGCAATAAGGACACGAAAAGGAATACGATAAGTTCCCAATAGATATCAAGCAAAAAAATCGTGGTGTAAGTTGTTGAAAGTTATATTGAAAAGTTCTTAACTCAATATAAGTTATAACACAAGTATATTGAGGCGGGGATCATGTACCTCATTTGGGCCACCTGGATTGTGACTTGCTGTCAGTATAAATGCTCCTGATGCCTTTGATCCCTGTATTCAAACCACAAACAAGTGAAACAGGTCGCAATACCAATGTAATACCAGTAGCAGTAGTAGTAGTAAAAGGGCTAGATCTTAACTTAATATAACTTACATCAGCACCAACTCTTTCACGTACGACAGCTGATACAGCAGGAGTTGAAAGCAACCCATTTTGACCAACCCAAACACTTCTTACTCCATTGCCTGCTGCCATCTTAATTATGATCTGTCAATCAACAAAACATATTAGAAATAGAAGACATTATATTTCTCACAAAAATTTATATTAGAAGAAGCAATAAACCCTCGACTCCGCCACCAAAAAAATGAAAAAGAAAAGGGGAGCCAACAGTAGTGAACTCCAAATAAGATTCCAGCTGGCTCCAGTGGGTGGCCTTGACATGCCCAACCCTTGTCAATTGCAGCCAACCCCAAGGTATCCAGATCCAAACAACATTTTCCGTTTCCTTGCTTACCAGAGTAAGTGCAAAACATGTATACCATCACAAAACAGTATCGAGTTCAGAAACATCATGGAATGTAAAATTACCTGAATAGCTTCCTTTGAATAATAGCGACCATCACCAGATACAACAATTCTAGCACCTACAAGGGTGAAAAAATGATAAGTTAATGACACCCTCTCAAAGAACACAAAAACACTTGAAACTAAGCCAATAAAAATTCAAACCAAGCAACAGGGAATAAACCAATATAAATATACGCATGTTTAGTTCTAAATCATATAAATGAGAAGCAGTGGGGACAACTTACACCTACCTTTAACTTTATCTGCTGGAAGGGCATTGAATGTTGACTGAACAAAATTTTGCAAGTAATGGGGTTGCGTAAAAACTTTCACCTGAAAAGTTCCAGCCAGCATAGTACTAAAATGAATAAGGAAAAACAAACAGTAATCAAAGCAATCTAAGTGTATTGTAGCTTAAAAAAAGGCATGCATTTTCTAACAGGCAATCTCTAGTCTCATAGTGCTTAGACATACTGTCCTTACAGTTTTTAGAAAAACAAAAGTTAATCCTATTGGATTTGCACTGAAGCAATCCTAAAGGCAGATTACATGTTAGAATAAAACCAGTAACATGGTGGAAGCTATTTCCGGAATTATATTCCACACTATAACTAAGATCTAATCAAAAGAGAAACCAATTAAAATGGATCTAAAAATTCGACGCAAGCAGCAAACGGATCGGTTTGATCGAAAAGAGATCAGACTGAAACAGTTGCAATTTCAGGCACCGATCCAATAATCTAGCAATAGCAAAGCACCGGAAAACAATGCAAGAATTCACGAAATCGAAACAACGAAAATTTGATTGCAAAAACAGAGTGCAAGAATGATCGAGCGCAACAGATCCAGCTTTGAGAATACATAATTCATGAAGAAAATACTTGATTATGAAATTGAAAAGGCGAGAGAGACAAACCTTCTTGCGGAGACCAGAGGTTCCAGGCTTTTGGCCTTCGAAAGGCGTGGTCTCGACCCGCTTAACCTGGCCCGACTGCATTTTTGCTTCCCGAGAACAAACCGCGATTCAAATCGGAGCACGCAAAGCACAGAGAAAGGGAGAGATACAAGGCGAGGCTCAGAGGTTGGAGATCGAGTTTAGAGAGAGAGTGATTTATAGTGAAAAGAAAGGTGGCAACGTTGTAGGATTCACGCTAATTTTAATTTTGTTTTGCGGAAGAGAAGTGATAGAGTGATACACGTAAAAGATGGGAGACTCGGAGGTGGGAGCGAAGAGGACGAATATGGGTCGGATGATGTTTGTGCGAATACTCTAAAATGTTCCCCACGTGTCACGTATTAATACTATAGTTTTGGCCGTCGATCCTTTTTTTTTCTTTTTGTCTTTCTAATCAGGTGGCCGTTGATCTTTACCGCCGGGTTTTGTGAGCAAAGAGAGAGCGATTCCCACGGTTTATTTATGAGTTGTGTTTTTTGACTTCACTACCCCAACTACTTTCAAATAATTATTATTTGCTCTTTGCAACCCAACTACCCCAACTCCCGGCTTTGTTGTTCAAATCCACACCATATTTACTCGAAAAATTGATGGGCCGAAGTCCATACACTAAAACAATTATTAATCTGGGCCTGCCAGTGTCAGTCCAGTCCAGTCTTCTCTTGAATGGGTTGAAAACTCAACTCAACACTTCTTCCATTTTATTGTTATTAGAGCATCCACAATCATTCTCTCTATTTTTTAGTTAAATTTTAGCTAAAAACATATAAAAGTTATTTTATGAGCTCTCTATAAAATTTAAACTTCAATCATTCTCTCTAGTTTAGAGAGTCATAAATGCTATAACTCTTTTTTTATTGGTCCATCTCTATTAAAAAAATAATAATGATAATAGTTAGCATTAAATAAAGGTTTTAAATACTCATTAAATAAAGCAGCATTAAATTATAGAAAGCCACTAGGAGTCCTTTCTCTCTCCTCATATTTAGGAGCTCCTAGAAGTCTTCATATTTTAGGAGGTGGATAAAGAGCATGGTTGGAGTTGTATTTTTACAATTTCTCCCTAAAATTTGTCTAAAAAGGTGGTTTAAGGAGCCCATTGTAGATGCTCTTAGAGTATCTCTAGGAGAGTCTCCAAATTATGGCCAAATTCTATCTAAAATAGCTATGAAGTATTATAGCATACCACTTAAAAAGTGTTTCCTCCAGCAATGTTCTCTATTTTGGCTAATATTTAATATTTTATTATTATTTTTCCTTTTTCTTTCTCCCTATTTCTCTTGCAAATCAAATATATTAAAAAGAAAAGTAGAAACTCAATCTCACCAACCTCCCAAATGACTCTATCTCTCTCCTCCTAGCCAAATTCTTTCTCCTTCTTGCGAGATGTAGAGAGTCAAAAGTTGATTCTCCAAAATAGAGAGCCAAGTAGGGAGTCTGCTGGAAGGAGGATTTTCCTTATTTTTAGCAAAAGTAGCTAAGGATGAGAGGATAGAGAGTCTGCTGAAGATGCTCTTAAGCTTATTTACTTCCTTTTTATTGCTATTAGGCTTATTTACTGTAATACCCCTATAAAATTATGGTCAAATCTCACTTTATTCCTTGAAAGTTAAAGTAACCCAGAGTGTCCCTTAATCAAAGTTTGGTAGTTCACTTTGCCTCCATCGGTACCGGTGTTAAATATTCTATTTAAAAAAAATACTAACATGGCACAAATGGAACCCATTATTTTGCTAAAATGTACACCATAAAAGCGCAACGTCTGCTAAATAATAATAAAAAATATTTTTGAAATATTTTAAAACATGTTTTTATTTCTCTCTCTCTCTCTCTCTCTCTCTCTCTCCTCTCTCTCTCTCTCTCTATCTCCCCATTATTCCCAACCCAATTAGATATCACCATGCACCATCCCTCAACTCATCAGCCCTTACACCCACTCGCCCTTCCTCTCACCACCCCTTCTCCTGAAACTTCTCAACACACTCATCCTTCACCCTAACACCTCCCTCCCACACTCTTCCTTTTGTTACCCCAAATCACAGTACCCGTCATCCCTTACCAAAATTTCTCAGCCTCTATTTTTTTATTTCTCAATTCTCACCACAGAAGTAGTGAAATTATCTTGTTTTATTTGATTTGGGAAACAAAAAGTCTCCAAATAACAAAAGAATGTTCTGCATCATATGAAATTTTTTTTTCTCACTAGAGAGAGAGAGAAAGAGGGATGGGCTTTGTCATGCGTGGGTGGGGCAGTGGTGGTTGCCCCAAGTGGGTTGGTGGGGAAGGGGTCAGAGAGAGAGAGAGAGAGAGAAGTAATTTTTTCCTTTTTGTTAAAATTTTTAAAATAAAATATTTTATTATTCACATATGGCATACATTTCAACAAGAGAGTAGGTCCCATTCGTGCCACCTCATCATTTTTAACATACAATGGCAGATTCATAAATATTTAGGAATGGGCTAATTTTTTTTTAATCAATTACTAGCCTCTCCTCAGCTCATGCGATATGCCTTTTGTTTTTTTAATTTAAATTTATTTTAGAATTAAAAAATATAATGGGTAGTTGTGTAACTGTTGCATAAAAATAGGATCCATTATCATAATTTTTTTTAATAATATAAAAAAGTGTGAATTTACCATATTATCCTAATTTAATTAATAATTTCAATTCTTAATGTTTGCATTAAACAAGAACATTTTCTGGTATTTTAAATGTTTCACCATTCTCTGTTTTTTGCTTTATATATATATATATATATATATATATAATCCCTTGTTTGTTACCCCAAAAAAAAAGAAAAAAGCCTTGTTTTTTCAATATATTTTCTTCATCAAATTAATAACTCTTTTTTTTAAAGCAAAGGACTCACTAATGTATTGGTTTTGAGTAATTACTCTCTGAGACAAGGTTTTGGGTTCGAGTTTCAGTATCTATGTAGTAAGTGTGAGTTTAGTTTATTATCGCCCCTCTCAATAAGAAATGTCCTAAAAAATTTATTTATTTAAAATTATAATAAATTGGAAGTATAATTATGAGAGAGACAAAATACTGGTGTAGTAATAATTTGAAACATAAAATAAAATAAAATATAAAAAAAAAGGCATGAAACTATGAAATCTAAAACACCCAAATAAAATTTATGCCGTTCCTGGAAAAAAAAGAGAGACCAAAATAATGAAAAATAAACCACCAAAACAATTATTAATTTTTCACAATGATCAAGAATTGATTAGAAACAACAAAAGATTCATAAAAACAAAAAAGAATAAACGATCCACATTTTGAAACCCATGTAGGGAAACCAGATTTCAACATTTCTAAAAAAAGCAACAACAATAAAATCGAAGAACAGAATTTGAGAGAGAGATATGATCATTGTACTTACAATTAAGCCTAATTTATTTTTCTCAAAAGTCAGCACTGAGCTAGAGTCCACTTTAGCCTTAATGTGGATATGCTATTGTTAAGATAGTTTTTAACAAAGTTAACGGTTTGGGGCAAAATGAACCACCAAACTTGGTGAAGGGAGCACTCTGGGTCACTTTAACTTTCATGGAGTAAAATGATATTTGACTATAATTTTAAGGGGGACTACAATAAATAAGCCTTGTTATTATTTTGAGAGGGGGATTTCAACTTAAGGTCTCTTTTAATATGGGAAGAAATATATCCTTGAACTAATATAGTTTGTAGCCAAATCATTACTTAAATTCTTAAATTTACCCATATTTGACACATAGTTTATTTTGTACTTTTGTTTTATTTATCAACTAGCCCCTTGGCACACGCTCACGCATGTGTCAATTGGTTTTATTTTCTATTTTTTATTTTATTTTTAGAATTAAGAAAAGATAATATGGGTAGTTATGTTCCATAAAAATATGACCTTTTATCTGATTTTGTTTTTAATTTTAATTTTTTTAATATTTAAAAAAATGTGAATTTATTATTGTATCCTCGTTTAATTAATAATTTTAATTCTTAATGTTTAATTTAATCAAGGGCATTTTCTGGCATTTTGAATGTTTCACTATTCTCTGTCTTTTGCTTTATTCTAAAAATAAAAACTCAAATTTACATTTGTATTTTATTGACATAAAAAAAAAATTGAAGTTTCTAAGAATCTATAAACAATTGCAATAAACTTGTAGCTCAAATAGTTAAGGGTATTTACACTTGCACTTTAGGTCTTAGGGCTCATTTGGGATTGCTTCTCTTGGAAATACTTCTGCTCATAATCGCTTCTAACAAAAACGCTTTTATTATAAAAATCTTGAATTTTCATAAAAAATTAAAGTGCTTTGTGGAAAAAGTACTTGGGAGTGCTTCCTGAATAAGCACATAACATATGCTTCTATGACCCAAAAGTGCTTCTAAACTTTTCTCCCAAATACTGTCATAAATGCTTTTAGTTATTAAAAAACGTTTTTTGCCCTTCTAGAAGCACTCCCAAATATGCCTTTAAATTTGATTCCTCCACCCCAATATCATTTGTGTAACAAAAAAATCTATAAACAATTTAAACTAGAAATGTAAATGCAACCGCTCATTTTAATGGTCCATATCCAAATGCTAATTAATAACCATCACTTCGCACGAAAGTTCATATTTAACTTCTTTTTTTTTTTTTCCCAACTGCCAAATGGTTTTCACCAATCAAACTATATATATATATATATACATATATACACATATATACTCCTAAATCCAGTCAATTTCCGTTCTCCGTGTCCGTTCAAATTGAGTATCTTTGTCCACAAAGGACAAGCATTATTTACGGAAGAACAATTGATCTGTTTAAGTGACATGCTTTCCTCCAATTCATACAATTTCTGTAACATATCAATTACAATTAGCACCAAAAATAGGAAGTGTTAATATACTGCAACTCTTCTATTCATGTCTATTAATTCACTGTGGTATGGTATATCATAACATATATAGATCATGCATGCAATTTTAAATCCGACTATCCAAACGAACGTACACTTTGGTCAACAATCCGAAGCACATATAAAAGGCGTGGAACGCAAAGCAGCAAATGCAATTCTTTTTCTCTTTTTTTTTGTAAATCAACGTCTTTTTTTGACTTCAGTTAGTTCTGGTCAAGCTTGCAACACTAGGATGCCAATTTATGCTTCAAACTAATTAAGCAACACCATCCTTATTTTTGTTAGCACCAATTTTTGGTATATTGGCAATTTCCTATTACAAAAATATAGAGTAGGTCTTTGAGTGGAATCTACAGTTTTTAAATGATGTTATGCTATCCAGGATCAGTGTGGCTTAAAGACAATGCCAAAGTATGTTTTGTATCAATGCATTCATATTTGCATATTTGCAAGTTCATCAAAAGTGGCTATCAGATGTATAGGACTGATATATGGTTTCAGTCTTACATAATCTAGTGCTAGACATCAGTGAATTTTTAACAATGGTTTTATACTTTGGCGTTTATTTAAGCAAAAGGGTTCTTTTTTCTTTTCAGCTGGGTTTTTAGTTAAGTGACTTTATTTGTTTTAAAGAAATAATTTATTTGTTAAAAGCCTATTTTTGCTAAAAGTCTTTTTTGGTCTCTGACCTAGTTTTAAGCGTGTAATATAAGAAAGGAACTTAGCCGTTTTGTTGGTTGGAACGTTGAAAAACAAAGAACGACAAAATATTCTTGCAGAGATTTTTTTGAGAGTTTATATTGAAAACTCATGTGACTTTTCCTTATGAGCCTCTATGAGTGATTAAATCATCATCTTTTCATATATGTATGAGTTCATGAGCATTATGCATGTTAGTGATCAGCAATCATGCCTTGAGGTGTGAACAATCGAGACCAGAGTTGTGCCATCTCTTGCTAACGAAGGAAGATAAGATCGCTGATTGGGTTGAGTAGCAAAGGCGAGGAGGCAAGTTTGCCTTGTGAGAGTTAGTCTTGTGAGTTGAGACTTGTAAGACCTTTTTGTATTCTGTCTCATAGTGATTTGTTCTTAGGCATAGTGCCCACAGTTGTTTTCCTCATATTAAGGTTTTTACTACGTCAACATATCTTGTGTCCCTTGTACAATTGTTTGTGTTTTTGTTTGAATTTATTATTGCTACGTATTCTGGAATTCTGCTTATAAGATTGTTACAGTATTTCAATCATGCTGTTATGTTTGAGTATTAAGAAACAGATCGGTTCGTCATTCTAGAGAGTTTCAATTTTACTCATGTGCGTTAAGTCAGTTGATTATGATATTTTGCCCACGTCAGTTGGCCAAGACATCTCGTCCGCCTCGTTACAACCAAGCTTAACTCTATCATGAAAGGTCGTTTACTATGCAGTGGACGTGGTTCCCATAATAACTAACGTTCCTATTAGCACTGGACCTTGTATTTTTTTTTTATCAGACTAGTTACCTTGTATAATCTTGAATATTTTTAGTAGGATTATTAGCAAAAGCGCATAAGTGAAACCAAATTAAATTAGCCTAAACGCTCATTTTTCATTTGTTTTTATGTTTTTTTCCAAAAGATAGTTGAGGTCCTACATGGAGAAAAAGCATCATCCACATCACAGAATTCTTAACCATGCAATACAAAAGACAAGATGCTGGTATGGTATTTTACTACACAACATTACCTGTAAAGGTTTCACACATTTTTAAAAACTGAAAAAGCAACCCTTACTTGCACCCAACACTTTGATTTATTTTTCACCACCGAAGTTTTACTCAATCAAGCACAGAGCACAGGTTCTCTTCAAACAAACCAACCACATCCCGGCACGCCGAGAGATAAAGCGTTAAAGGGGAGAGAGAGAGAGAGAGAGAGAGAGAGAGAGAGAGAGAGCCAACTTTTGGAATTTTAAAAACCAAAAAACCCAAAAACCCAAAAAGTGAAAAAGTAATCAGAATCAGCCTCATTTTAATTAACCCCCTTTTGTAGCCAGAGAGGCAAAAGGCAGAAAAGCCTAAGTAGCCGCTAAACAATTTACATGGCAATTACAGTCACATTTTGATAACACCACCTCCAACCTCACAGCACCAACCAACCGCATACTACATTGAAACAAAATTTTAAAAACTAAACCATCGATTATCCGGAAACTAAATTCTAAACACACCTAAAATTAAATTAAATTAAATTAAAATTAACACTCCCTCCCTCTTTCTCACTATCTGAGCTGAGCTAAACTCAACAGCCGACCGGCGCTACAGCGGGCTTCACTTTAGGAGGCCTGCCTCTGCCTCTGGGCGCGCCAGTAGCCGGAGCCGGAGCCGGAGCCTGAGGAGGAGCCGATGCCGTTTTGGCCTTCTTGGGAGGGCGTCCACGTGGCCTTCCAGTCCCAGAAGGGCTCTTGGGCTCCGGTTGCGGAGCGAACGGGTCTCTGGGCTTCGGGGGCCTGCCACGTGGCCTGGGAGGAGAGACAACGGTTCCAGGTGGGAGCGGGACCTTGGGCTTGGGCGGACGGCCTCTGCCTCTCTTGGGCGGCGCGTTCGGGTCAGGCTTCATGTAGTTGTTCTTGACCAGGACGAGCTCGCCGCTCTGTTTCATCTTGTTGAGGTGGTGCGCCAGAAGTGTGGCGTGAGCCGGAGGTAGATCGCCGTACGTGGACTCGATGTACGTTGCAATTGCCGACTTGTTAGACCCGTTGCTGTCGTTCAGGGCCTCGATCGCCGCCATAATCATCTGGAGAAAGAAAAATCAGGAAAAATTAAGCAAAATCCAGCTGAAAATTAAGCGAAAATAAGTGAGGAAGAGCTGTTTGGGTGACGAGAAAATAAAATGGAGGAAAACTTTTGTGTACCTCTGGATACTGCGGGAGAGAGGGAGCTGGCGGAGGCGGTGCCGGAGGGTTATCGGAGTTCTCAGTGGCCATGGCAGCGTTCTGTGGAGAAAAATGGCTGAGAGATTGAGACTGAGACCGTTTAATATAGAAGTACAGAGAAACTGTTTTTGGTTTGGTGGGAAGTTCAGGCACAGATGATGAGGAAAGAGGGGAAGGATTTAAAAGGTGGGTTTTCTTGACGATCGGATCGAGGGAAAAAGGGAGGAGGATGAAGAAGAGAGATCCGACGGTTGGGGATTGCAAGTTTGTGTTATGATCCGACGGCGAACGACGTTTTAGTTGTGGTCACAAGGATCGATGACGTGGACAAAGGACTGAGCTGGGGTTTTGAAGTTTGTGTTGCGATGAAGTTACGTAACAGTCCCTCAGTTTGAATCGCGTCTTGTCCAAAGCCCTTCGAATAATTCGAGCGAGGATCGGATAGGGCTCTGGCCAGCTTTACTTTTGCTAGGCTCAGAGGCTGATTGGCCGAAAAGGCGAAGAAGTGTGAGACGGTAAAAGAACTGGGCCAGTAGGATTAGGACATGACAGCAAGCTTAAATGGAGCGGCAATGCTTGATTCTTTGGGATTCAAAATGCTCTCGCTCTCAGATCCAGCATCCAAGTGCGGAGTGCGGGGCCCGCTTTAGGACCCGGGGTGTGGTCATGTGTGGTCCCAGCAGAGGGATATGTTTCTATACATCTGACGAGCATGTGTTGCCTAGGATGAAAAGTGAGGGTGCCGCTTCCTTAAAAGAAACCGAAGCCATTGACTGGTGCGGCTGGAGTTGACTTTTGGAATCGGACGGTATTCCACAGACATGGCTATTGGTATGCAATCACAGCCCTCTGCTCCAAATTCAAAGGTGGAGAGGCGGTGCAGTGATTTCGAGGCAGAACCATGTTTGGTGTTGTTGGTGATAGATGATCGATGATGGATATGCTTCACTTAATATATTTTGACTTGGTGGGTCCCTGTACCCTTTTTTCAATTGCTGCTGTGCTTGTGTAAATGTATATGGATTTATTATTATTTTTAAGTTTTTGGTACCAAAAAATGCATATGGATTATTTACTGTTACTGATTCACATAAGTATACCAGTCATCTGCAAAGTACTGACATTTCTCGTGAACTACCCGTCTTATGTAGGACACGTGTCGGGATATCAACACTCTGTTCATCATATTTGACACGTCACATTAAACTTTGTTTTTTTAATTTTTACAATACCTACCAACTCCGACACTCCCCGTCAGTTTAGTAAATTGATTGGCCGAGGAGTAGTTCATTCTCAAAATAAATGCAAATTTGACATTTGTCAATTGTGTCATCTCATTCTAACTTTTTCTATTCAGAATTGGGTCATGTTAAATGAATCCTAAAATTAGCTGAGTATACTCTACTACTAAATTATTTATTGAATTGCTAATTTACACTAATAAAATATGACTAAAAAGATATATTGAATTGTGAAGCAAATGTAATTTTAATAAGTACACCATACTTACCATATTCAACTCTAATCAAACATAAACGAAAAATCATACTCCTAAAAACCTTAATATTAACTCCAACAATTTGTTTCATCATTATTTGGTAATTCATTGATGCAAACAAGTCTCGTGGATGCTTCAGAGATGTCAAGGAAGTCATCAAAAAAGGTATTAAGTTTGGTTTTAATTTAGGTTTAAAAAAATAAAATAAAATTTAGGTTTGTCACCCACAACCCCTCATTATATGGATTCGAGCTTGGGCCCTCACCACTCTGGATATCGAGGAGGTTCATAAAGCCCACTGTTAAAGTAAGCGCTGAGAAGCAGCCCAACTAATATTCATTTATTTTTTACAAATTTATAAATAAACCCAATTCTAGACATGTATTTATAAAAAAACCCAAGCACTATTTAAACATAGAAACACACCCAAAATCAACCCCAAAGTCAACTTTTTGGGTGTGTTTATAAATGGGTTTTGAGTGTGTGTAATGATGGGTTTTGGGTGTGTTTATATGTTTAAATAGTGCTTGGGTTTTTTTATAATTTCAACCCCCATTTTGGGTGTTTTAGTGAAATCCCCTTTATTTTTCTTGCAAGAGAAGTAGGGCCCAACTAAATTTCAGATGGTTTGGTTTTGGGGAAAGGTAGACGTAGGAACTTCCGGTGGAAAGCCCTTCTCTTGTAGTGTTGTAACAAACAAACACATGAAATAATTGGAGTTGAACCAAAATGCAACAATTTGGATTTTCCTCTTTTAACTTTCCATGATATCACACAAAATTATACATTTCTATTGTACAAAAAGAATAATCAAAACCTCCTATAAAGAGTATACCTAACTTTCCACCGGACGCTTGCCACGGTCATCTAGTTCTGGTGCTGCTGAAGTGGTTCCAGTGGCAGTAAAGCTCGAATCAAATGTACGGGAACGGGAATTAGATTCACCAGAAGTTCCACCAGTGGAAGACAGTCCTACTTGCCGGCGAGATCTTCTATATCTTGATCCGGGTACTCCAGGTCTAGTTGGCTCTTCCAGATTGCTCGGTTTCTTGGACAGGATTACCACCACACGATGCATGGTGGGTCTGAGTTGGGGATCACCTTGTATGCATAGCAACCCCATTTGAATGCACATTGCTACTTGCTCCGTGACCGCAGATGATGCTAATGTCGGGTCCATAATCTCCAAGCTCCTCCCTTTCTTGTAAAGCTTGTATGCCTGTAGCAACAGTCAGACAATGTTTAGGCTTTGCAGTACAAAATGTTTTCAATAAATTTTATAGCCACTGAATTCAAAACTTGAAAACAGATTATGTATACATTACTTCTAACGTTTCTGTTTTCAAGCTTGTTCTCTGAAAAATGTTGTAACAAACAGTTTCCAACAATTCCTTTGGTAGGCATGTTATGCCCTGTATTATGCTTTCATGATTTGAGTGACATAAAACCTTTTTTTTTCCAGTAAAAACCAAAAGGAACCAGATAGACCTAAAGTTTCTCAAAGACTTTTTCTTTTGTGATGCAATCTGGTATATAGTAATCAAATTTTGACTAGGACCCACATATTGGGTGATAAAATTTGACCCATAGGTGGGCCAAAAGCTTGTTCATTCTATGAAACCTAATGCATCGTCATGTATGAAGTGCTTGGCACAAACAGCTCAGCTTGACCAGCGCCAGCCACATAATTTTCATACTTGGCTCATCAAATAATAGTCTGATCTACAATCTTACCCAATCAAGTAGACTCTGCGCATCAACATTTAAGTTGAACGATGAATTTCTCTGGCCACTGATCAGCTCCAAAACCACAACTCCAAAACTGAACACATCCGCCTTCACTGATAAATGGCCATGCATAACATACTCTGGAGCCATATACCCACTGTTTCAAGCATATTACAAAGTTCTATATTAAAATCAAGTCAACCACGTAGATCCCAAGCACTTGGAGTCAACATACTAACATATAGATATTAAGGCACAAGACAACATACTTGGTACCAGCTACACGGGTATTGACATGCGTTTCGTCTTCAGGAAAGAGGCGGGCCATGCCAAAATCAGCAATCTTGGGGACCCATTTATCATCGAGTAGAATATTGCTCGCCTTGATGTCTCGGTGTATAATACAATTGTGTGAATCTTCATGAAGGTAAAGCAAACCCCTTGCAATGCCGCATATTATATCATACCTCCGCTTCCAGTCAAGCTCCTCCCGTCTATTCGATTCTGTATCAAGACCATAAGAATCAGTGTATCAAAACCAAGTGCGATAACCATCACATAAAAATATATGATTCGCTAATTTAGGGGTTAAAGTCAAGGGGGTTGACAAAATGGTGGAGATTGTCTCCATTGTGAGCTGGCAAGATTGTGTCACAATTCAGAAATTTCTGTTGGGTGCTTGGGCTAAAAGAACATGGACAAAGTCAAGGTCTTCAAAGCCATATCATTCACATTGTTTAAATCAAAATGTGATAAATAGGCTAATGATGTCATAATAAACAGGTGTCTAAGTACCAACGAAAGAATACATTAAATTATGGAAATCTTGCTTCAAAAATAAAATCATAGACAAAGATCAATAAAAGTTAATTGCCTTCTGCTAAATGAAAGTTCCCTACAACAGCTTAAATTATAATAGTCTTAAAACAAAACTCATCTCATGTTACTATAATAGAAGGCAAACATTTAATTTATACCTTTTAAATTCAGAAAGAATTTAGTCAATAAGTATTTTTTAAGAAACAACGACGAAATGAGTAATAAAAAGGGAGCTGATTTTCCCACTCCTCTTTTGTCCACTTACACTCCCTTTTTTGTTATAGTAAAAACTATTAAAAAAACAAAAGGGAGTGTAAGTGGACAAAAGGGGAGTGGGAAAATCTCCACTTTCATAACCTTCTCATTTTCCTCGATATATCTAGATTCTCCAATGTAGCGGAACATTGGCCTAGAAAGCAAGGCATCCCTATAATTCCAAATGACTACTAATTTTGTAAGAACGATTCTTAGCAAGGAAATTTGCAAAGCGAAGCAAGTTTCACCAAATTTCAGCATATGTAAAGCAATGCTGGCCAGAACAAATTTCCATACAATTTTGACAGACATGTCAGGAAATTTGATGGAAATGGGGGTTTGAATAAGTTCCATCTTGACAACTAAAGCAATCTATCCAAAATCCTGAAGTAAGGAAAATGAGAAAATAAGTTTCTGAGTCACAAAAAAGTGCAGCTTTTAGTACTGCACAATCTATTGTTCTTCATGCAGTTGCCAAATAAAAATGTGATAATAAACAAATACAGAAGGATTAACCAGTACTTACTGAAGAGAAGCTTGTCAAGGCTCTCATGTGCGACATACTCATAAACAAGTAGTTTCTCTACCCCATGTGCACAATAGCCCAACAAATTCACAACATTGCGGTGCTGCACACGAGCTAACAACTTGGCCTCATTCATAAACTCTTTCTTTCCTTGATTTGAACTTTGTGACAACTTCTTCACCGCAATCTCTCTCCCATCCTCCAACTTCCCCTGAGAAAAACAAAAGAAAAAAAAGCACCACACAAGTTGGAAGACACATCAATTGCCCCGTTTGGTCAAGAAGAAACTAAAAAGGCTACCCATTGGGAATTTAAAGGCCTTTTAATCAGGGAGAGAAACCAGAAGCTTATAATTTAGAACCTTACAAGACACTACACTGGGTGAGTCATACATGACTCACCTTTGATGTAGCTTCCTAAAGAAATGAAAGACATACATGTACACTAGAATGGTGATACTCATTTCTCCATTATATTGTCAAATTATACAATCCTTCAATTGCCGTAACAAACTTTCTAAATCCTTTAACACCCAAGAGAGTAGCAGGTTGTGCTTACAAGTATATGATTGAGTTGGTAATTAAGCTAACTTTGAGTTTCTTACTCTCTAGTAGCCATGATTCCATCTCCAAAAGGGCTAAGATGACACATTTGCACTTGCAGCTGCCTTGGAAGAAAGAAAAAAAAGGGACTGAGGAATAACCTTCTTAAAATTATGACATTTCACACATTTTCCTAAATAATTTGTTTCACTGAATGCCAGCATAAATATAAATAACAATACCAAGTAACAAAAAGATTTCTTTGCAGTCTAAAACAATTAGAAAACAGCATTCACTAAAGAGACAATGGACCGCTTTCTTGTTTTCTCTGTTTCCAAAAAGCGCACACACTAATTTTGGAAAACAAGTTCAGTAGGAAAAAAAAAAAATTGCCAGCTTGAAAAAAATTGACCAGTTCTTTCCCTAAATTTTCTCAGCAACCAAACAGCCTAGTAAAACTAAAACGTACGCAGATCTACCTTATAAACGGGCCCAAAACCGCCTCTTCCGAGCTCATGAGTGCTGTGAAAATTTTTCGTAGCGGCAACCAATGTTTCGAAAGGGAAAACCTTCTGTTCCTGGGCAGCAATCTTTTCCAAGTCCTCTTCATTTTGTCCCTCTGATCAAACAAAACAGAGCAAAAGCATAAGTCGTACGGTAGAAGTAGCAGATGACTGAAATTCACGAATTTGCAAACTGGGTTTCGTTCCTTACCTTTACTTGAGCTGAACCCAAGAGTTTTGATGATATTGTTAAGGAAATTCTTGGACTTGGTCATGGTTTTCTGTGAATTTTACAACAGCCCATAAAGGAGCACAAGAGAAGAGAGAGAGATTTTCAGGTGACGTCTGGAACTTCGTCTACTCTGATGAATATGTTGGCAGGTGGAGAATGAATACGATTGTGTGGAAAATTTGTTTTCCTAATGTTTATCTCGCTCTTTAAAGGTTTCTGTTTTATGCTGAGAGAGGCTATTAAGAACTGAATGACCCAGAAACGGAGAAATTTGGAAGCATTTGGCGTGTTGACTCAATGACCCAATATTGACTTGTGGATTTTTATTATTATCTTTATTCTGGTTTGTTGAGGAAGAGAAAAGTCAAGATTAGAATGCATGATTTTCAATCAACTCCTCCTGCTTGATGCGGGTGACGAAAGCGGTGAACTAAGAAAATTTTGTTTTTGGTTAAAAGAAGAACAGTGACATTTTACCAAAGAGCAACTAAATAAATCCTGCCATGTCGAACTTGGTTCGAATCTAAATCAAACTAATTTAGAATAAAAATTAGAGATATTTACTGTTATACCTAATATAGGGACTTAAATTATATATATAAAAAACTATACATAAAATGGACTTTAGAAATACACTAAAAAAAACTTATTTACAACATAACAAAAAGACTTCGAGCTTTCTATAAATTACAAAACTGCCGATTTCTTCAAATAAACACAACCCAAACCTTAAAGAAAATAATACCAAAACACTCAAAATGGCATCAAAATAATTTAATAATCAAAATTAAATTCAATAAGGTCAGTTGTCATTTAAAAAAAAATAGTTTTTTTGATTTGTTTATAGAAATTAAATTGAGTAGAATTTTTATTTATATCACTAGTGGTAAGAATGAGTATATAACTAAATATGTCCAAAAAGTACTAGGCTCTTTAAAATTTCCATGAATAAAACAAAAGCGGGTACAAATGGCATCTCATTTGTGTCCTCTCTAAGAAAATTCAACCACCAGTTGCTTACTATATTAGATTTGGTTATTGCCGGCTTCTCTTTTTCACTTGCGTCTATCTTTTATTTAATTCTTCAATCTCATTATATACAAAACATTTTCATCTCATTTTTGAAGAATTTGAGCATTTCAGTAGGTTCAACTAATTTCCTGAACATTTATAATTTTGACTAGAGAACCAACCTCGTCATTTTTGCTTGAATTAAATTATAATTAAAACGGTGGGGTTGGGGTAGCTTCGCCTTCAAGTCACTACCGCTACTTGGTCCTTACACATAGAAATCATAACGAGTAAAGTAATGAGAACACTTGACCATGGCGGCTGAGCTCCAAAGTTTTCTTGAAATCAAATTTTGGAAAGAGACCCCATGCATGTACCTTGTTCTTATTGGATCTTTTTTGATCGAGCCCCATAGACCATAGTCCCAACACCAGAAGTACCACTTGTACGGACGGGCTGGAGGAAAGCGAGCTAGTGTGAATTGGACAATGTCAATGTCAAGGTCATGACATGAATAATCATAACCCTATATGTGGACCGCGCAGCAACAAAGAGTAGAGAACCTTCTATATGGCGTGCAGGTATCCAATATTAATTCCAAAATACATTAAACCAGTTTCGTCTCATCAAAAAACTAAAAACTTGTCAATGTCGCGTTTTATATTCGTACGTCTCTCATCGCATGACCGGTATAGCTAAGTTTGTTTCTATCAAATATGTTATTGAGTCATGACTTGAGAAACAGCCCTTCAGTTTCACATGTAATACCCTTGCAATTGCAACGTCTAAATCTACATTTTCCCCTCTCTCGTCTTTTTAATATTTGAAGTTGGTCAATCTTCGAGTCACACCATCCACATCAAGGAACTAGCCAAAATTGGGGTTCACACTGTTGTACAATGTCCACTAATTTCCTTCAAGTATTGCTCCCAAAATTATATTCTCGTGCATAGATGAGCTTTCTGCAGGTCCCACATTGGCGCCCGCCATTGCTGGCTGAGATTGGATCAAAGAATTCATTTCCTGATTTGTCTATGTGTTTCTTTAGCAACGCTCTTTTTATTATTATTATTTCATTTTCTGAAAGATATGCTCAGGTATGAATCATGATTAGGACATGTCTAATATAAGCTCGAATATCATTAATCAAACAGCGCCGAAAGTGAAAACCAGGTATGTATAATAAGCAGAGCAAAGCTGCTTCCACCAAAAAAATAGTGAGGACATTCTTTTAAGAAATGAAAACAATGGCTGTCATCATGTCATGCACATCAGAAGAAAAAAAAGAAAGAGTATATATACATAAACCCAGTAATGCACGTGGGAAGAAACAGTCAATCAAAATTATCTGATTTTGATTCATACGCTGCTAGCTAGATAGTGTTCTTTGATTCACTTGCTAATCAGTCAACGTTAGTTAATGGACATCTCAAGATCCAAGTTGGGAGCAAAAACCTCCATATATGCCCCCTCTGAATCGTTGTCCTCTTTTGCAATCTTTATAATGCCAGTAACCTTTTCTCTAATATTCTCTTTTAGACTTTCTTCCCTCTCCTTATGACAGGTGTCATTTTCTCTACATTTAAAATAAGGGAGTTTCACTAAAACACCCAAAATGGAGGTTGAAATTATAAAAAAACCCAACACCCAAAACACTTTATAAACACACCCAAAACCCATCATTACACACACTCAAAACCCATTTATAAACACACCCAAAAAGTTGACTTTGGAGTTGATTTTGGGTGTGTTTCTATGTTTAAATAGTGCGTGGGTTTTTTTATAAATACATGTCTAGGATTGGGTTTATTTATAAATTTGTATTAAAATAATGACATTAATGCATTAGACAATATATCTTTTGTTCCCAAATTTACCCTTATTAAATACATTAACTTTATATTTCCTTCAATTTACAACTTAACTTATACAATTAAATTTAAAAAATAAACACTAAAAGTTCAATTAAATAAATATTTGAAAATAAAAACGAAGTATACTTCCCTTTAAAAAAAAAAATTGGTTCCAAAAATAAGATTTACAATAAAATCGTTAAAAATTATGGAATTTTTTAAAAATACATATAAATATATTTTTAAAAATTAATGAACATTCTAATTAAAAAAGTTAAAAGATAAAAAGAAAAAAGAAAACCCAAACCCTAATCCATCGCTCTCTCTCTCTCTCACCCAAAACCCAGTCCCCTCCCTTGGCCAAAACAACGGCCCCCACCCCGACCCAATCATCACCATTCCTTTCCAATCCAAAACCCCAACGTGCACTGTACTTCTCACTCTCTCTCTCCTCTCCATTCCATACCTAAAAACCCATACCCCCTTCACTCACCCAAAAAAGAGTAAACATATTTTTTTTTCATTAAAAAAACTGACTTTAATTTTGTGGAGAGATATTTGTAGAAATGTCACATGAACTTATACCTTAGTTTCAATTTGTCACCTTAAAAAAAAAATTAAGAGAAATGTCACCTGAATTTTTCAAAATCTATAATTTGTCATCTGACTTTAACATCATCCAATTTTTCATTCATGATTAAGGGTATTTTAGTCTTTTCATTTTTAAAGGTGGTTTAAAAATGGAAAAATCATTATACAAAATTGTATATATTTTAAAATAAACCATTAAAAATCAAGATTCTTTCCTACCAAACATTAAAAATTGAAAATTGCATTTTTTTCAATCCCCCGTCGTCTCTCTCTCTATTCTCCCTTCCTCCCCAACCACAACTCCCCTAAGCTCTTTTTTTTTCCTCCCCCAAGACCTGAGCACCCCATCCCCACTTGACCCCCACCCTCTTCCTCATATTTAATTATGAACAAGAGTTACCCAAGTACATGAATATATGCAATAGGTGTGTGTAAACACTCTAAAACAGTAGATCGAAATTATTCCAACATTAAACAATAAAACATTAACATCACATAGAGTAGTCTACTATGACTCTGAACAAAAGAAACACCACCAGTTCTCAACATTATAGGCAAAGAAAAATCTCGCCTCTCAAGTAAGCCAAACGATTGACGTCAAAGAGAAGGACCACCCACCCAGCAAAGAGCGAGGTCTTTCAGCAATGAACTTCACAAAAAGAGTGGAAGGCGAGAAAGACACTTTGACAGTGAAGAGAATAGAAGAGATGAAGTCCGTCCCTTGGCCTAGTCTATATCTACCGTTGACGCAACTCCGTGCCGGGTGCTAAGGTCTTGGGGGAGAAAAAAAACAGAGGAGAGGGGAGGTGTGGTTGGGGAGGAAGGGAGAATAGAGAGAGACGACAGGGGGATGGAAAAAAAAGCAATTTTCAATTTTTAATGTTTGGTAGGAAAGAATCTTGATTTTTAATGGTTTATTTTAAAATTTATACAATTTTATATAATGTTTTTTTCATTTTTAAACCACCCTTAAAAATGAAAAAACTAAAATACCCTTAATTAAGGATGAAAAATTGGATGATGTTAAAGTCAGATGACAAATTATAGATTTTGAAAAATTCAGGTGACATTTCTCTTAAATTTTTTTTTAAGGTGACAAATTGAAACTAAGGTATAAGTTCAGGTGACATTTCTACAAATATCCCTTTTGTGGAAGATGTTAAAATTCTCCCCTAATTTTTTAACAAGGTGGAAACAAAAGTCAGTTTGTCCAATGCATTTAATAAGGATAAAGTTGGGAAACAAAAGATACATTGTCTAATGTATTAATGACATTGTTTTAAGTGTAGAGAAAATGACACATGTTATAAAGAAAATGGAGAATATCCAAAAGAGAAGGTTATAGAGAAGGTTAGAGCAGTTCCATTGAGGCCCCCTTGCCTCAGGCTGGGGGAGTTTTTTTGCAAAAATTGGTTTCCAGCGGTGAGCCCAAGCACAGACTAGAGTGGGTCCCACGCAACTCGGGTTGGCCCGAAGGCCAGTTCAGTCCGAGGTCCAAAACGCAGGTTGGTGCTGACGTCAGGCTGGCGTCAGCCCACTCATTTGATTTTTTTTTCTGTTGCCACGTGGCGTCATCTGGGCTCTTCGA